AGGCCCTCTCTTTTTCCACCGGACTCGTTCGTTCTTTAACTAACTCTTTTATTAAGCGCACTTATCGCCATCTCTGCTTACAAAATTGGGAAACCTTGACACTATTATTAATATTACTTTCAATGCTTTCAATTCTCGCCTCGTCCGCACCAACTTGATACATTGATGTGCGTGTTACTATTCTAAATTAGAGACGCATCTATATTTTCCTTCTTTTTTTTGACATTCCATAACCCTAATGACATATTCCAGTAACAATGTCATCAAACACATATTTTATGTATTTTTATGTAACATTATTAAACAATTAAGTTGTAAAAGCAAAATAATTATGGTTCATATTTCGATATTACTATTTATATGATTAAATTTACTGATATAAATTTATACAAGATACAGTGAGATAGTGAATATTTGCAGATAACATAGATAAGGCTTGCCTTTTTGCAATATTGCTTTTTATTTATAGTAGTTTAAATACTACAAAGATATTTAGATGTATCACATGAAACAGAAATATCTGGAATCATCAAGTACGTAATTTTCCATTGAAGGAAAAATAATATAAATCAGTGGTTTTCAACCATTTTTTTAATCTCCGGGACGCACTGGAACTTATAGTTAAACTTCCGATGAACATTTAAATGGCGATGAGTTTGTAATTTCTACATGTATTGTGTGTTGGATTTCTTAGAAAACTAATGTTATTAATGTCTTAAAATCACTAATCTTAGTCATCCAATTTCAGTTTCAAGTAAATATACTAAAAACACATATAATGAAACCTCGCTTCTCGAATAATATAAATACATCAAAGTTCCATCTTAATATTAAATACAATTTAATAACAAATATCAATAATAAAGAAATACACATATTTAAAACAATAATTAAATATTATTAAATTATGTTTACGATAATAACTACTTATATTTTGATTCTTTAAAACTGATGTCTGACTGAAAACTGATTTTAAATATTTAACAAATAAATTCGAGTTTCAATTCCCCTTTTTAAAATTTCTCTTTTTAATCTGTAAACATTTAAATTGGTAAAAAACTTTTATATTTGCGTAAAGAGTTTTTTTCTCTAATACGAGTTTAGTAAGAGTTTAAATTCTCATTAGAAACCTTCGATAAATACAATAATAGAAGATTTAAAAAATGCAGTTATAACTTTAATTTACAATTCATATAACATTGTATTAAATAGAAATAATGTGAGGAATTATTTTATAATTGAGGAAGCAAACTTAACTTTTCATATGATTGAATAAATTTGAATCAGAAAATATTAATATGCGAATAGATTGATTTTGTAACGCGATTTATTTTATTCATTTATGTGTTTGTAAATGTCACTTTTTATAGATACATGACGTTTGATTATTTTAAAATGTCAAACAGAAACATAATCCAACTTTCACCGTTCGTATACAAGAAAAAAAAACTATTTATCCAAAGGTTACAATCACTGCCAGCGTTTTGTTGCGTAACATCAATGTGCAATTAAAAATTATCATTTTGTACGTTTGAAATGTTGCAGAATTAATAAAAAACAACAACTTAGATATGGTGGGTAAAAAAGGTCAAGATAAAAGTAAATTGGAGATAACGTATGTGTTTAAAGTTTAAATCAAACGAACAGGAACGATTTAGTATATCTCCGAGCTGCAATATAAGATATACGATCATAAAAACCGGACAGTTTTTAACAAGTAACTTAACGTAAGTCAGGTTAAGGAGCAATGACCGGGCTACCTCCCTTCCATGTCTGCAATGAAAGCAACTGCGTCTCTCCAACTTAATTAATACCAACTTAGAATCTAAATTAATGTTTTTTTTGCCTCTCCCTGCTAATAGCTTTCAACTTAATCTATTTCCATTCACTCAGCGCTGCTTAACCTTCACTTCATTAGCGTTATTTTTCTTCATTTAGCATGTAATTAGGACGTAGACCTTCAAGTTTTGCTACATGTCGCCTTTGCTTTTAGTTTCGAGATAAAAATAGAAAATAGCTTGTATTATTATATTGCTGGAAGCCTATTTCGTCCGAAATTATTGCTTTTCTATTACTCCGTTCGACCGAGAGTCGAGGTGTGCACGGTGAAAACTCGACGTTACGGTGATGTAAGTAGTAATATGTAGTAAGTTGGAAAGAACAAGATTTCGTTCCTCTCGCTCGCTGCACACTACAGAAGCTTGTTTGAAACTTTATCGATTCGTGCTGGAATAGAGAGGAATGGAATGATTCTCTCTTTCATCACATGACGATTTCCATTAAAGTTGTTGACGACCAACAACAGTTGCTAGGCGCTACTCAACTCGACGCAACGAGACACGAATGAAGACCTACTTCATACAATCATACTGAAGCTTTCAAATCATATCGAGACACGAAATGCATTTTTGTTTTGTCGCACCAAATGAACATCAAGAATTAAAGTGATTTTTCTACCCACGTGGCGAAAAGCTTGAACCATTTCCATCTTTCTTTAATCGATTGTAAAATTACTAGTAACAAGCCTCATCCTCCGATTGAGCAAATAAAACTTGATTTAAGGCGTTACCAGGACGACAGATTGCGGGGATTATAACAAAATCCCGTTTCCATGTTTTCCAAGGCGTTTGTAATTCTGATGTAGCCAGAACTGGGAGCGATCGATTTCGAATTATTTAGAACTGTCGAATTTTAGGATTTTGATGGCCGAGACCTTGAACTCCTGGGAATTGAAGGAAACAAGTTTGAGACAGTTTACAGGCAGCCAGTCGAAATTCCTCAATCGATTTCTGTCCCTTTTTGCCACTCCAGACTGCTTCTTCAGCTTTCCAGTTGGTTCTCAACACATACATATATGAAAGAGAGAGATAGATAATAAGATAGTGCGAATGTGAGAGAGACAGAGGGAAGGAGAATTTCTGGCTAAAAACGGATTATACTGAGAAGAGATGAAATAAGTATTTAAACTGTAAAAAGAAATTGCGTAAAGAAAACAACATTTTTTAATTATATAGGTTTATTATAAATATATATATTTATACACGTATATTTGCTTTTTTTTTATATTATTATGTCTACATAATGAATGCGCACCAATAATAATAATAATAATAAATAAATATATGAATATAAATGTAATTTCATTTCCGTTTTTAATTATTAATTCGTAACTGTGTGTTCGTTTTATGTTTTATTGTGTTTTCAAATATTTTACTATTCAATTACGGAAATTCGTTTTATTATTGACACAATTTAATTTTTAATTAAACTTATATTAGCATATAAAATATATGTATATTGTAGCGCGAGTGGTGTGGGGGGGGGGGGTTGTAAAGGTGGTATGGGGAACGGCCGGTTGTGAGCGTGGATGGAACAGGATGGGGGCGGGGGGTGGATGCTAGTAGTAAACTTTTTAATTTTTATTATTTCAATCAAAATTTTAATGAAGTAATTAATTCTTGGGTCATGCGCTATTTCCAAACCGACAATGTGTACCACCAAAAATAATTGTTGTTCGCTCGCATTTCATTTGGATTCTCTTTACAAATTGAAATATTTTGTGTGATCTAACCAAATTTATATATAAACAAGTATTAAATACTGATAATAAGACAACTTATTTCAAAAACATATTCAATTATCAAGTTGTACAATTTTATAGTGGACATTAAAAAAAATTTGATCTTGATCCTTTTTATTTTAAAAGTAAACTATACTCGTACAAATCTGAACTTTATCTACATTTATACAAACTGCACTATAATTGTTAAATTAACTTGCTAAACCAGGAATTCGAAATGCAGCATTGATATCAAACTATTCGTAACAATAAACTAACGGCCAAGTAATTTAGTGCATTCAATCGTAATATTAATTAATTTGTATGAACATGATACATGATATACATAATTTGTAATATATTATATATGGACTAATAAATTCAAATACAAAAATATGGATGATTTAAATGTTACAGACATTATTTTTGTTTTCTATAAAATGCTAAAATGTGAAAACAATGCTCATTAATTTTTATTTTTTTCGATTTTGAACGCAAATTACAGTCAAATCGATTAAACCATAGCAATGGAATACTCGATACATTCCCAAACATCTAGCTTTCAAATGCATTTTCTTGTAACGGATTCTTAATGTTACAGAATCAAGGACCGAGAGAACATATACAAACTCACAACAATAGAATTTCAACTACTGATTCATACAGCGCAAAGTGATCTAAAAATAGTACATGTACAATTACTTAGTTGTAAGTGCTCAATCAATTATATAATTGAGAGGATTAATGAGATTTAAAGTTGAATGTGCCATTGATAAATCTCTGCATCTTGTATATGTACTTATTTCAATTGATAAGTTTACGTAAAAATTGCAATTATATCGTATTTTGTATCACGTTTATTTTAGTTAATAAATAATTTGATAGATATTTTTCTCCAGTATCTGCTTATAAAAGCGATGTATTAAAGTTTTGAACAGTATTTCCTAATATCAATCTGTGGAAATCGTATTCGTTATATTGAACGATGCAATCATATTATATTACTACAAAACCAGGGCCGTGGAAAGGTAAAATATGTTTTCTTTTTTAAAATTATTATTTAATTTCGAAGAAAGTAATAATTCAAAGTCTCATTCAATAGATGCCATATTTAAAAATGTATCACTGGTCCAAAATACTCTCTAGCTACGGCCCTGCATGATGTGAATATGAATTATATTAGGTAGCGCATTCGGAATTTAAGAAGATATGAGGTGATGAACTGATACAAATATTTATAATTAAAAAATATCTATTATTTATCTTCATATTACTTTAGAGACGACACATTTAAATGTTGATTGTAGAGATATAGAAGGTGATAAACAAAATATATTCGAGTTATTAATAAATTTATTATATTATCATTTTTAGTTCTCATCTTAAATATATCCCTATAAATAATCATTTTAACAAAAGTCAAATGTTAAAACAGTATCTATTAAAATAAACAAATGTAGCATGTATTATAAAGCAGATACATTTGCGGTAGACGCGCCGGATGGAATGCAGCGGTTGTGATTTGGGAACGGTCGAGAGGCATGTGATGCTGACTGCAGTAAGGTAAGAGACGCCCCCCGAGACAGAGGCATGATTTAGTCGGGGGGCAGCATGAGTTTTCCGGATTGCCATCGTACTGCTCTTTAGCTTGACGCTCAATCTCCGTGAAGAACATATCATTGGAGGATGACTGGTATTCCCTTAGTGCGATCTTCTCTAAATCATCGGAGGCGCTGCAAGCTACCGGAATCTCTTGTTCTTGCACGACTTCCGACTGCCGAGTCATCAACTTATAATCCTGCTTCTTGTGTGCGGCGGTTGTAGAGCTTGCACCACCCTGAACGGACGGCTTCTTGATGAAAATTGTCTTGTTCGCATCCGGTTTCGTTTTTACAAATTTTGTCGTTATCGGCGACGGCACCGTTTTCTTCGTTTTAGCTTTCGGGGGATCGAAACTGGAACAATTCGGGACCGGTTGTTGTGATGTTTGAGCTGTTTGATACAAGCTCTGCAGATTCCAATTTTGGCTAGCATTTTGAAATATCGTTTGAGGGGTAGTCGGCCTCGTGAAATTAGTCCATTTATGTTTCGTGGGCATTTGCGGTAACAGAAGCTGTCCCAAGAAATTACCATAACCGCATATATTTTGTGATCTGTACGTTGCTGGCAAAAACCATTGAGGACAAGTAGTTAGAGTTGGACGTGTCGTAGGCACAGGTGTGGTGTTGCTGTAAGGATTGCCGTAATTCATACGGTAATTGGTATTATAAACCGTGTTGGAAACAACTTGCAGAGGATTGCAACCATTGCTGCTTCTGATCTCGTTATCATAATCTTCTGAATCATGCAGAAATAAGGAACTGCTATCTTGTATTGTCATGGGAGTATTCAGCACCTCTGAATAGGACGTCGTTGGAGCAGTAATCGCCTCGGATCCCTCAAAATTGCAATTCAGTTTCATGTCCATCTCCGAAATATTGATCAGAGTTTCAACAGTCTTCAATTGCTCATTGTTATCTTGCTTCGTAGGCGATGAAACAGCCTCTTGCTTTGTTGGCGATTTGTTGCCCTGCACAACATCCGAGTAGAGTCTGCGTACTGGAGGAACCATCATTGTTTCCGGCTGGATCTGCACGATTTTCGCTTCGATTTTTGGTAACTTCTCGTTCAAACTGACAATCGAATCGACCAAATTCTAAACGCCCGTTTGTCTTTTATCAATACCTCAGAAGCTAACTAATGTTTTTTTTTGTTACCATTTCATTAATTACCTGTAAATTTTTCTCCGTGTCGTTCGAACGTAGGCAATTCACATACTTAAAATTGTCTTCCTCGACGAAGACGTTCTCTAAGGATGTCTTGTACACCTTCAGCGCTTTATCATAATTCTCTAACTTGGGTCGATTCCACAGCTCCTTAACGATGTCTATAAAACAAACATGAGTCTCTAACGTTTCTTATCTTTATATAATATAACTTTTATAGATAATTCGATACTCTTAAATTATAATTTCACAATTATTACACATATGTTATATGTTTTTCATTGAATTTCGCAGTAGAAAATGTTGTATAGGATATTATAGGATTTCATATGTATAAAAGTTGTTAAGCTTAAATAGAAGAGGATATAAATGTATATATTATGTTTTGAAACCTGCTAGTATTTTCTTCCTAAGTAATACATCCTCGTATTCCTTGACGTTAAAATAATAGGGCAAGTAATTTTCCGCTTCCGGATGTTTCGCGTTCCTGAGCTGTTTTGTAGTTGTTCGCTCGAAGAGTTGCTCAATAACCGGATTGTAATTGTAAAATTTACGGAATTCGCCGCCACAACAAGCCGATACAAGCGACGGTAAGGGCATATCCTCGATGACCGAAATCTTGTCCAGATGTTCTAATTCAGCCTCGTAGATGTTGAAATTCAATGAACCGGCGTAGATGGTGTGCCTAAAAATCTGCTCGACCTCTGGCGTCGTCCACGATTCGACGACGGTTGCAGCGGGTTGCTGAGGTCCATGGTAGCAGATCGTGGATGACGAGATAAGAGGCTCCCACCAACTTGGAGTGTACGCCCTCTCACGTACTTCGTCGTACGGGTACGGCCCATACCTTGCTAGATTACTACTTGGTATCACATCCCGCACGTTTCGCACCCGCTCCACTTCCGGATTCTCTTCCAATTTTTTTATTCTAGCATACAAAACCTGCCAAAGTGACACATTTAGAACAGGAAAGTATATGAAAAAGGAACGGTATCACCTGATTGGCTTTCTTATAGACGGGATCCTGAGCGAAATCATGGTCAGAGATAAATATTATCTTCCTGTAGGCCTCCTGCAGCCGTTCTCTAACCATAAGATGTTCATTTAAAATTGAATTACTGCTCATACTCGCGCCATTGTTTTATATCTATCACAACCTACTTTATACGATTACACATAGATGGAAACACATTCGGAAACAAACAAACAAAAATATTTTCATAAAGCGCACCCTCATCTACCGCTCATCAAAATTGCAGACTTACGGAATACAACACTACTTCCTCAGATTTTAAAATATCGGAGAAATATATAATTTTTGTGTATTTATGTATTTAGATTTTTCAAAAATGTCAAGTATTTGACGCTTTACTTCAAAAATAATACTTCATTTATAATGTTATTTAAATGTGTATATTTGTTTCATAATTAGAAAGTACTAGGTTTATTTTAGAACCACCATAGAATAAGGAAGATATTTCTTATGGACAACATCAACTTTCAAATCAGTATCTGCCGTATGCTGATCAAAAAATATTTAATAAACTATTTTATCATATACTTTGTAATTGTGAAATTTTCAAAATTATATGAAGATGATGATACATATTAGGTAGTCGATTTTCGTCCGTTTCTTCGCTCCATCCTTCCTGTACATACGCCGCGTTGTAGCCGTCTAACATTAACTATGTACATAAAAGGAATTGATATGAACTAAGTGTCATTGTATCTTATTCTTGAAGATATGAGTTCATAGTACGGAAATAATAATAAATAATTAACGCAATAACTGCACAATATTGTTTATTTAATAAAAACTTGAAATTAGTGGCGATTAATTAATATCAATAAACTATTGACAAAAGCAATTCCATCTTATTGCTTCTATAGTGAAATCCATAATTTTCATACTATTATAGGCAGCCATTTAAACATATATTTAAGTATTAAATACTCTTCAATTTAGATGAGGTCAAGTTGAAAATGTAAATAATCTATATTACATGAATAACATGTTATGTTATTCAAGTGATTAGTATAAGTACGATGATAAACGACTGATAAACAATCAATAATTTTACTAAACAAATAGCTTCGAAAAGTAACTACTGCGCGCAGCTTAGTGTTTCAAGGTTCAACTACAAAGTGGATAAATAAAGTAGAAATCATATGATGTTGTTGTGATGTGTCTGCACCTAACCTCATTCACCGTAATAGAAAACAATGGAAGTGTTTAACAACATAAAAGACTTTCTGAATGCCAAACACCTGCTCACGCAGAGCGGAGATACATTGAATACGATAGACGGTTCATGTGTTGATTGTGAAGCGGGAACCCAGATTCTGCAGCACTTCCAGCAGGAATGGGAGGATCTACACAGGAAGAACGAGGAGAATGCCGAGAGGGCGGAGCAACTGGCCGAAATCATTTCTGAAACTCATAGGACCATCACCAATAAAAACGCGTATATCACTAAGATTAACCAATTGATTGGAGCTACACCTTGCTTGAAGGATACCGTCGAACAGTGCGCCCGACAAATCTCCGAACTTCATCAACTTTTCGAAGACGTGGAAAAAGCTCTCGTGGATTTCGAGGATGTGATAGAAGAAGTAGAACTGCAGCATATGAAGAATGAGCATCGGTACCAATTGGCACTATATCAGGAGAAACGAATAGGTTCATAGCATGAAAATAAATTAGAAAATTACTTACTTGTTTCTTTTTTTCAGCAAATCTAGAGACGTGTCGTCTCGATTTAGCCAATAAGCACGCTCAGCGCGTCTCGGATATAGAGCACAAGAACAAACGGACGTTGCAAGAGAGGCAGCAAGTATTTCAGGAGGCATTCAAAAATGATTTAGAAACCTATAAGATTTTAGGAGCAATACCAAGTGAATACATTTCAAATACAAACTATATACATTTTCTAAAATATAATTCGTTTCAGAAATTGAAGCAGTAAAAGCTCAGCCAAGTGCTTTGCTTGAGGAAATTCAACTCGACATGGACGATACGGAACTTAACAACTTTCTAGATGACAAATGATACTTATTATATATATATATATAGTTGACTAAATTTCTGTATATTTTTATTAAATATATTTTTCCTTTATTATTATTCTTATAACATTTAGTCTCCATTATTCAAACTTATATATTTGCAGGATTAAGGTAAACTAGGGTGAAATTAATAATGTTAATTCGACTTTAATAATTTATTTATTTCTGAAGTCTGAATCACAATGTTAAAATTATAATTAAAAAAATATATATTTTAATTTTTCCGCACACACGTCCTAAAAATCCATATCATTTTGTATAACTTTAATTAGCTTATGTATTTATTTGCACGTATATTTACAGAATTAAATCGATGAGATCTAAATTAAAATGAAACGAAAAGTAAATAAACACAGTAAACGAGAAAAACACAGCGAACAAAACTAAACCTTGGTCATATCTCATATCAACTCAATAAAAGATATTTACAATAAACAAATAAACAATGATGGCTCGCAGAACTACTACAGAAATTAAGTGTGTGTTTAACTCGTAGAAAATATAATTAAAATTAGTAATAAAAATAAAACCTAATCACGTAAACGAAAATCAATCCATACAGTTCTTTTGATTTTTCATTGTTATCTAATTTTTTTTGTCATTTTCTTTTAAAAAATAATTTGTTGTTTTTTTCTTTGTAATTAACGAAGCACCCTAAACACATTTGAATCAAATTGCTTCTTATAATAAAAAACGGTCGCCACTTTTCTTCCTTTCATAACACTATAATTTCAACAATAATGAAAATATGGCAGTTTTTTTTATCTCGAATATTAAGTAAATATTTAAACGTTGGCTTAATTCTTAACTCTAACTCAATAAACGCAGATCTCAAGATTTCATCTTTAAATTCTCTCGGTGTCTCTCTTTCTAAATTGTATCTCCTAAAGAAACGAAAATGTTAATTGTTTTTGGTAACATACGATTACACAATATTTGGTGCACAGTAGTAGCACACTTATTATACGAATACATATTATGTATAATATAATATTACTGTTACAAGTAAATCCGAATGTTTCTGCTTACATTTTTTTGATACTATGCGGACTTTCCGGCCAGAATAATTATTGTATATAGTAGTAACCAGAAAAATAGTAAGTTTCAGTGTTTCCTCATAATTTGTGTCCTTTTATCTGTTACATTTTGTCTGTGGTCTGTGATAGGAGTTTTCGTAATTTCTCTATTCGACGATGAAAATGATACAGATAGATGCTACCCCAAATACAGTATAAAATATCGTCGTGGTCTGGATACACTCTGGGTAATACATATCACATAACTTATAACACAATTGTAACACCGGCTGTCCTCGCTAATTGTTTGCAATAGAATTTATCATGACACTTCGCTGCATACGCAAAGAAGAAAACTTGGTTTAAACGGCGCATTTTGAGTCGTTCATAACATCACATTACAACACACCCTGATCCATGATTCTTATTTATCTATATCTTTTCTGCTATCAACTTCATCTGCATGGGTAGCATAAATCCTTTCATATAAAATTGGCTGAGAAGTTTTCATTTTTGTTTCTTTTTTTTGTTTGTTTAGTATGTAATTATTAAACTTCTTTTTATTTACCGTAAGCTTTTTCTCCCTTTTTTTTTGTAAAATATTTCTTTTTTTTTCATGCAGACATTTTATGTTTATGGTTGCCAGTACCTGTTAGCAAGGATAAGGTAAGTGGCAGACAGCCTCTGTCACGCAAGGTCGTTCTCGCCCTCGCACGGCTTTCCGTCTCCATAAATACTTAACGATGCTATATAGTTGTTCGGCATCACCTTAGAAATTAATTGTTAATATTGTGAAGTCAGGAAGGGTTACGATTAATACTCACTTCGAATATGATGTCTTGGTAACCATAGCAGAAGGTACTACCAAACGGATTGGTAGTGTTTGTTGAACTGGCCCTGTTGAGCACGACCGGTCGTTCACTGGGTGTCAACTTTTTGCATAGATCGTCCCATCGACAGTAGGCTGTTACGTCCATGGTTTCCAGCAGTACGCTGAACTCGCATCTTTGGTACATATTAAAATTATAATGACCTGGGTAATTGGTGTGCATCACCACCTTCTTCACCAAGTGGGTACGTGCATCAAAAAGAATGTCCTGAAGAAAGTAACACCACATTTAAGGTTTTAATAATATTATAAATAAGTCTATTGTGATTTAGAAACGTACTAATCCGAGTGTGAAGTAATTGAAGAAGTAGTCGCTGCGACAGGCGGCCACCCTCCTATGGGCGTTCGGACTGTGGATCCGCATTTTATCCTCACTCTTGTAGAACACCTTACAAGGCGCGCCCAGATTAGAGGCTACGTCTTGTGCGGAATTCCCAAGCATAACTTCGCGTTCAATCTGCATCTTCGAAGAGTCTATCCTTCGGGTGTTGGCGCCGACCAGCAGGCTCAACTTAATGCCTTTAGTATAACTGTCTCCACGAATCACCTCCGCCTTTTTCAAATACATCTGACCGTGGAAACACGAGAGCGGAAGTTCGGGTGCACTTGCCATCTCCACACTTGCTCCACTGTAAATCGCCATTCGAGATACTAACGGCGATGAACCAGGTGGAAAATGTAAAGAACCTAGAATCCGAAAAATTAAATTAGTTAAATAAGTTAAAGCTATTCCAGGCAAATGTTTACCCAGATTGTGGGTGCTACCAGTTTGGAATCTAGATTCCACAGGAAAATAGAAAGAAAGGCCACGGAAATTTAGCACAAACAATTGTTTTTCAGAATCATACACTCCTGGATGTGTAGCCCCAAAAGAGTGTTCTATCTGTTCAATTGAAGGCAGAACTTCAGGAGAATTGAATGCCAATCCACTGTAATAGAAAAATATAAAAAAGAGCATAGATTATATAAAATAGATAAATATAATTTACACACCAATATTTTAACTTGACCATTTTCATATTACATATCTCTATGATCTTCAGCCTCTGCACAACTGGGTCAAAAAATAGTCTAATCCCATCTTGCGACAAGTTGATTATTAGGTCTACTTCTAGCGGGTTCTGGAAATAAAAGTTGCATTCATTTACCGTCAATTAATATTGCGATCGTGACTCACTGCATCGTTATAAAGCACTTGGACGCCTTTGATGTTGCCGACCTGCGACTGAATTATAGCGACGGCCTGCGAGAAATGCATCCCTGCGAAATAAAAAATAATAATCGAAATAGTACATCAACTGCAATTCACAACATCCCTTCTTACAAACAGATACAAAATTCCTCAAGGTCGATCTCCAAAAGATCGAAAGTCAAAATAAAAAGTGTGCGCAAGGATATAAAAAGAATAAACAATCGGATGCAAAAAAAAAAGGAAAGACAACAACAAATATTGCGCCTTATTACAAAAGCTAATAAATATCCTGTGGGCCTACCTAAGACTAACTCCCATTGTTCACAGCCTAACGAACGCTCGGGGACGATCTCCAGGTCCAGCATCTTGCAGCCAGATCGGTATGGGTCAGATAAGCTCAGGGTTAGCACAAATCAACAATGATAGAAGTCAAATATACGTTTAAACGACGGGCACCTCTTTGTCTAAATTCAGACGGACGCCATCTTATATTTGTCAATTGTCATTACTAACAGCTGATTTCCACAGCTGGGCATGGGCCCACGCGATTCTGAGCCTTTTTACAGCGTTACGTATGAATCAAATCCGGTCCGACTTCAAACACGAATCAAAATAAAGCCCCCTTCCATATACACACATACAAAAAAAAAAACTTGAAAAACAAAAAAAGAATAAAAATAAACAACAAAACATTAAACTGGTCCAAAATAAGGCAAGAAATATTATTTATTACAATTACACAGCTTTTACAATATTCTTACCATTTATTGAGAAACGGATCAGACAACAACTAAACAAAAACTACAGACTTATTCTTATCACAGCATTGTCAGTGTCAACAGAGAACTGTTTATTTATTTTTTTTCTCTGATCATAAAAGAAGTAAAATTTAAACAGAGACCTTGAAACAAAAAATAATTCGCAACTAAAAAATCAGTCAACTTAAGAAAGTTGCATAAGTGTATTCTAATTATACCATAAACCTATTTGGCTAATAAACAACTTATGTACAAATAGTTATTTTGATGACATCAAGGAAATTGCATTCTTAAAATACAACAACGCGTTCGGTAAAGTAACTGCGAATTTTCAATAATAAACAATTACATTGAAACATTGTTTCAAAGGTTCTTTGTATGTGGTTTATAGTATATAGCCTTGGCCTATCCAAAGTTTTTGCGTTCTATACAAATAAAACATGCCAACTAAATTTGCGCACTTGATCGAACATGGCTTTACTAAAAAAAAAACACACTTCTTCGAAAACTATTCTTGTCAACATTTTTTACTACAATGTATTATATAGATTTCTTAATTATATTAATTTCTGATTTTATAAATGATAAAAACACGTGTACATTTTTATGTATAATTTTTAGAGGTATTTTTTATTGTAACATACCAATATTTTTGTTGCTTGATTTGTTTTTTTTAATCTTGTATACATTATTTTTCTGAATTTTATTAATAGTTCAGAAAATGTAAATGTTTTTGGCGGTCGTTTTAATTTATAAAAAGCAAATTTACACAATTCGTTGTGCAGTATTTGAGTTATATATGTTTAGATTAGGTAGAGCTGTATGGTACCATCCTAATATCTCAAAAATAATTTATTACATTTATTATCAATTAATTCAAGTTGGGCGAAAAGACTGTGGTCAATAAACTTGTGTGCAATAAATTATGTTTAATTTAAATTATTCTTCACTCTTCAAACGTATACTTTTGCCTAATCTTTCAAACTTTAACAAATTTATTTGTACATATATATTAAATATCCAAACAAATAATATCGAATTTTTTACAAATACACGAAAAACGAATCAATTAAATATGTTTTGGGAAGATTTCATTTAAATTAATATATTTTATCTACTACAATAGGTTCAACATCATTTATTTTCGAGCTATAAAGCTCATGTCATAACTTGAATAAGAAAACTTAAAACATGCATTTTTTTTTATAATTTGCAAAATCGAAAATCAATAACGAAAAAACGATTATAGATAGGATGGTACACATTTTATAACTACTGCTTAACTTAATGTGAAGTGTCCGGTGGAGGAGCCATGCAGTTGCCATCCGGGTACCTCTTCTTAAAGCTCTCAATCAATTCTGGATCGACCAATCGAATACCATCGACCTGGTTGCCGAGTGTTATCCAGTTAGGCTGGATATTATGGGGCCTCCCAAAGAGTTCAATTTTCCGAGTGCCAGGAGAGAGACGCTCGATCATTCCGTAGATCTCATCTGGTTTGTGACTTGTTGCCCGCACCTCAGCCACTATCACATCCGAATCTAAGCCTCTGTTCAAGTTCTGCGGGTTGCCCTTCATGCCAACCAAACAGTGCTCCTTGCCATGATTTAACCAGTGTCCCGTTCTTCCTGTTCGAATGATTCGCTGCAGCTGGTTCGTTTTCACCCAAATAATTTCATCTACTCTCTCGTAGCCCCACAGTTTTAGGCACTCCCTCCCAAGTTCCATAGCCCTACCGGTGACCCAGAGGAAGATCAGACCTTCGTCTTGGAGTTGCGGGATGCCCAGTTGCCTCATTTCATCGTCCGACATTGTACCGTATGGAAGTTCCATATGTATATCCCAAGGAGGATCTGCCATTATCACAGCAAACTTTCCTAATGCTGTCATATCCAAATATCTTAAGTCACACTGCACCCACTGAGGTGGATATAGCGTGGTACTATCTAAACAAGGCACTGGTCTGTTCTGTGACATTTGTACCGTATCCTTCGCCTGTCCTGACCTATCAACCTCGTAATGGACATATTTACAAGTATCCATATGGAAGCACGTATTTAAGAATGAACAATCGCCCAGCGCCTCGTCCGTATGCTTTTGTATTATCTTCTTGAAATGTAACTTTTTGCAGTGCGCTGTTCCGGCGTTCCTTTGGCACTCAGCCTTCGTTCCATGTGGACAAAATTCCATGACTTGTGCTCCACCCTGCGATCTGAATCTCTCTGCTAAAGACCGCTCTTTTGCTGTTGGTTTACTTAAAAGATCCAATATTTCCTCTCCCAATTTTTTGCTCTCCTTTTCTTTTGTGGAAGGCATAGATAAAAGTGACTACAAATAATTTCAATCAATATAATATAACCAGTTCATCATACAAATTTACATACCAATATATCTGTTGCTTTTGGATCCTTCTTATCTTTTTTACGTTTATCCTCTTCCTCTACAACCTTCTTTTCAGGACTTTCATCTCGTTTCCTCTTTAATGTTTCATCCTTTACTTCTAACAACTCATTATCTTCCACCATCGCATTAAGCTTTGTATGTTCTACAAATATAACATCTAAAATATTCTTACCATCTTTAACTGTCTCTTTAACACTAATCAACTTTTGTGTTGTAAACTTTTGCAGTAAATTGCAAATTGATTTATGTGAAATATTTGAGTCATCTTGGAGCAACATCCCAAGTAAAACATCTGATGAAATCGGTATTTGTAAAGTGACTTCATTCAATTTCTTCAAGAGGCCTCTTTCTAGCTCAGGGTCTACTCTTATAAGATCCTCATCATTTAATTCATCCTGTTTGCACTCTTCTTTTACTGCAATTTGGCTACCTGTATCTATAGAACTTTGTATGGGAGAAGATGAACTAGCACCCAAATTTGACCCCAGAATATCCTGTCGCTCCTTTTTTCGTTTTTCCAATTTTTCACGTAAACTCAGCCTCTTGTTTTTAATCGCCTGGATTTGCTCCCAAGCATCAGACATTGTAGTCAATTTTTTTAAAAAAATTATTATAAAATGTAAACAAACTTATTTTTAGTAAACCTATAGGTTTGAGGTTAGAAAAACGTCAATACAAGAATTCAAAAAAATTCCAGGGAAGTAGCCTCTAAGACCGTATTTCTCCCACCTTTTCGGTGTTAAAAAATGTTATCCTCTGGAAATCATTCCATAAGAAAATTTAACAAATTTACAAATATTAGCAATTATTTTATGTAACGATAAGTATTTTGAATACGTTCTTTTTTAAAAATATTTTTGTTGTAATGAAATTGTTATTGGTTATTTTGTAATTCGATATTATTTTAATAATAATACATTTTATTACTCATACAAATATATGTACTAAAAACAAAAGAGAATACACTACACAATAAACTTATTTACCTTAATTTTAATTTAAAAAGTAATATGAATTATTTAATGTTAATTTCAGAGAAATTTGAGATGGGAATAATAAAAGAATTAAAAATAAATGTTTGATTGATTACCGCACAATTTGTTCAGTTAAACAAGATGATTCTTGAAACTCATCATTGAAATTTATTTGGTAGTAAAACACAAAAAAAAAAGTACTTCCAATTGATTCAATATTACAATGTTGTGTAAATCCCAACCCTATTCTATATAATTATCTGCTACATTACTCTACCATATAAACAAAAAGGTTATCAATTTAATTAGAATGAATCACATAATACCACAAAATATTCTTGTCTTATTTTACACAACGAAAGCTTGTTACAATTTTATCAATCGACGAATTTCGCTTCACCAACTAAAAAAGGAAAACGGTAACATAAAACAAACTAATCATATTTAAATTTTGAAATAAGAAAAAAAAAACGAACGATTCGATATTATCTATTTCGTTTTAACTAAAGCAACGTTCTAGCTCTTTATACTTACACCTTCTTATATAGTTCTCAAATTTCGTGTTCTTTGAAAAAAACGACGTGACAATAACGATAAACTAAAAAAAAACAACACATAATTTCTTCCATTTATACATATTAATTTAAAATAAATATTTTTTTTTTATTATTAGTATTGGCTATTGAGAAACGAACAAATTAAAAGAGAATATATTAATTAAGAGAAATCAGTAAAGAAATATATTGTTTAATAATTAGGCTACGTATTATAATGTAAATTGTTGCTATTTCCTTTTAAAAATCCTTCATCCAATCTATCCGTGGAAAGTAAAATGGGAGTAGAGTAGAAGCCCAAAAGAATATTTGCAAAATAAAAATTGGAGCAATGTGAAGGAAACTTCGAATGCAACGAATTATCGATGATTTTCAAAACGTATATATGTTTTCTATATATATATATATGCATATATAGTAAGACAAGATTACTATATATATATTTATATTATTATTAGATATATAATTATGGTAGCCGTCCTAGATGTAGGTATAAAATAATGTCCATGCCATGAGCTGCACCATACACCTACAACAACAAAAAGTATACATATCACAATTAATATATTTGCTCGCAATTAATTGTAAAACCTATTTTAAGAGATGAATAATTGTTATAGCTTGTATGCTGTTTCGATTGATCTTCATTTATTTTCAACAAATGAAACAAAAATATTGGTGCTATAGTTAGTATATACGTTAAATTCATCAGTCAGGCTTTGGAAATGATAAAATGAAATGGTAAGGGTCTTCACATCATGTGTTGCGACAGTACTAATATAAAAATAAATCAAAGCACACTGAGCTCTATGTAAAAGGAAATAGTCATACAAATAAATGAATGCGCGAATTTAATTTATGCTTTAATTTTGGTGATGTTTTCACAGTTCTACTTAATAGCGTTATCTCAATGTTACTGAGAGCCCAGCGTTGCATTGATTCAGTTTCAAGGTTTTGGTTTAGAAATACGATTTTATTAGTTAAACTTTGTTCATTTTCTTCTTTAAGTTTAGTTTTAGCAACAACTAATTACGACACAGACACATAAAATAAAGAAACTTAAGACACTCCTCGGGATGTTAATTATTGTAATTCTCTTGGTTGTTTCGCAAGTTTTTTTGGGTGCAATTATTTTTAAATCCGTGCAGTACCTTTTTTGAGAAAATGTAACTTGGTTCAAAAGAGGGGGAGGAGAGTGGGCGGTGGCGGAGACGGTGGTTTTTCTTCAGCAGCAGCCGGACTTGGTGGACTCGATGGGACGACCCTGATCGATCTTGACCTTGCTAGCCTGATCTGCGGCGGATGACGGTGGCCCCACGCGGTTCTTGATCTCCGCCGCCATGGTCATAAAGGCCTGCTCTACGTTCGATGCGTTCTTCGCCGAAGTCTCCAAGAATGGTATGGCCAGCTGATCGGCGTATTCCTGAAGAAGTGCAACAACCATATATAATACCAATAAGGATGTTAGTAGTTCATTGGTTTTGTACCTTGGCCGTTGCGTAGTCGACTACTTTCTTGGTCGTGAGGTCGCTCTTGTTGCCGACGAGCAGTTTGTTGACATTATCACAAGCATAACGGTCGATTTCCTCCAGCCACTGTTTCACGTTGTTGAAGGAATCCTGGTCCGTGCAATCGTACACTACAATGATGCCGTGTGCGCCGCGGTAGTAGCTCGACGTGATGGTCCTAAACCTTTCCTGCCCTGCGGTGTCCCACTACAAAAATGATCATCACATTGCGACTTCCGAAAACGCCCACCTATGTACTTTTTTATACTTACAATTTGCAATTTAATTGTTTTACCATCTAAATCAATCGTTCTGATTTTCTGTAATACAGAGTAAATTAAAATAATTTTTCGATCATAAATTGTTATATGTAATACGTACAAAATCCACTCCAATGGTACTGATATAACTTTCTGTATAGGTGTCATCCTACAAATAATAACAAACAGGAATATTAATATATTTCAAAATACATGAACATTTCTTCCAGATATATTATTGAATTAATCAATTTCCAACTATGAAAAAGGGCGTTAAATGAATAAGTATATAATAACACTATAAATTTAGTGCAAGTTTATATTTAGTTTAATCAAATTAAAATGGGTCAAGTGCAATTTGACTCTATTTTAAGTTTACTACTAACCGTGATATACTAAAGCTATTAAACTGAACTTAACAGGTCAATTCGATCATATGTAAATGTAAAAGTTAGATACTATTTAAAAAAAAAAACATTTTTTACATTAGAATAATGAACATTTTAATAATGAAATTTAGTTTATTTGAATCAATTTTGCGATACGTTATTATGTAAATAAGAGATAATTAAATCTACAAACAAAATGTTCAGACACTGTTTGAACAATAACAAAATATGATTGCTTACATTTAAACTGTCTTTATTTTATTACATATTAATATAAACAAAAGTCCAGATACATGTAAACTTAGTATTTACTTACAGCAAATCTGAGCAGTAGACACGATTTTCCTACACCGGAATCTCCAATCAGCAACAGTTTAAATAAATAATCACTGAAAATAAAAGGAAAAAATCGGTATAATAATTGCTTGCAAGAATTGAATAGAATGTATACAACCAAAACTGTTAACTGTGGTAGTACGTGCATGGTGATACAATTTTTAATTGTATCTTAATTTCTAGAAAATTTCCAAGATGAATTACCACTATCTAATTAGCAAATTCTTTAAAAGATTGCATTGATTTTTTTAGGCACTGTTATAAATACATTTTTTTTTGTGTAACCACTTAGGACTAGAAATTTAGGATTTTTTGGCCCTTCAAAGACTTAAAGGATGTTTCTTATCAAACAATAATACGATATATCTACAAATAATTCAAATGTACAAATATTAACGTTTGTAACTTATTTTTTAAAAGAACAATCAACAGTGCTTTATTCTCATGATATACGATACACGAGGGTGCGGCTTTGTTTCATATGGGCTTATTGAAGATAACAGGATGTTCTCAAATTGAATGGATATTCTTTTATACTAGTTTCTTATACAGTCTGCTTCTCCATACAAATAATAAATGCAACAATATCTAGTTTTAGAGTTCAAGTATATGTCAAATTGCTAAGATTTCAAATTCATTAAGTATAAATAAATGAATGCCAAAAGTATGTATTATTATGTTGCTTTTGATTATTTTGATGAATCAATTTTTTTAATACATTCATTATATTTTCTCAGCAATAAATATCTGTATCTTGCATTTACTTAATTAATGAAGAAGTATGTATCACAATATAAATTTCTGTTTCTTGAAAAATACACATGAAATATTTGTTGCTTTATAAGGACAGCTGTCATTGACATTTTGATTGATTTGACAGCCATTTTAGCAGTTTTCCTCAATATTCCTAATATCAAGATTATCATCATCATAAACATATAAAATCTGTTGTTTCATGTTTATAGTATAAACTTAAATTATCAATAAGGAAACTAAATTTGTACACATCACTAATTAAATGGTGTGTACACTTACAAAGAACTGTGATCTTTAGATTAAGTGTTATTTGGATTTGTGCATTGAAGCATAAAGAGTAAACTTCGTTTGCCAATAACTTGTAAACAATTGACATTTTTGTTTATGTTCAATAGATGGCTGGCTTTGTGCTTATAATCATGAATCTCGAAGCAATTTTGTAAGATGAATCAGCATAACGAAACGCAAGAAAACGATCGAAGAAAAAAAACATGTATCCAGAATTAAGATATCGCGTATTGTACACATTGCAAATAAATGTATGATTAATTTGGAATGGAAACAAGTTGACTCATGACGTTGACACCCAGAAACATAATATTAACATGTAGTGTTCGATAAAAGTGGGTGGTTTTCAGGATATAGAGTACACGTATATGTTTTGTTCTTTTCGAGGATTATTGTTGTTGCAAAGATGTGAGAGATGATTTCGTGTAATTTTCCACTCAGTTTTTTCGCATCTGTCGTCCTACCATTGTGTCAAAGTGGTCTCTGGAATCAATAATACTCACTATTCTGGATTCATGTTTGGTTATTTGCTTTCTGTTTCCTTTACGATATTCTGGTTGATTTACTTTGCGTTCCCGCTGGCACCGGTACGGTTCGCACTTCCGTTTCCGAAACTCAAAAAAAAGGAGAAAAACGGGATCTTTTCACCGCACAAATAAGCAAATTTAGGACAATGGCTGCGACAAGACACGGCTCGTAACTTTTAACATTGACGTAACGTTGCCAATGTGGCAAACGCGCAGCCATTCGGCCCCACTTCAAACCACTCGCGAGGAGAGCGCTAAATTCAAATTTTCGATTCCCAGGATTCATATTTTTTCACACCACAACAACCACCTCATGATAACTCTCATTAAATACACGATTGATATATGAAACCTAATTAAAACAATTTTATTTAATTAAAATATTTATTATCGACAATCACAGTATATAGTCTACCCAACAATCATACTTAACTAATATTTATGAATATATTTAAAAATGTTGTGGTCGGCCAAATACTTGTCATAATTGTGAGGAATAAATAGGATTTTTTAATAGTATTCAACCTATAAATATATTTATAATATTTACATTAGTTAATTCTTTGCAATAAATCTTGAGTAGAGCATATCAAATCCTGTGTGCTCTCTGATGCTGTGTCCATAATATTTTCATCATTTGGTTCTACCACTCTGTCCGTTGTTTCAGTGACAATAATAGAAGAACTGGCTACAGCTTGAGGTTTTCTAAATGGTACTGATTGCATCTCGCATTCATTTTCATCAAGAAGGGCGAATACATCATCATCGTTATTCATGTCTTGATCTTGCGTTTCCTCAGCGATCTTCTCGCTGTCATCATTATCGTCATTAATGCAAACGTTATCAGCAGATGCGATCTTCTCTGAAGTCCTGAGCATTTTAGCTCTCTTCGTGTTAATTTTGATATTATCCCCATTTATAATATCCATTAAAAATTGAATTCGTTGTTTCTTCGAGTTAAGCAATTTTAAGAAAGTCGAGTTTGTGTTTTCTTTATAATCTCTACTTTTTTGCGCAAAATCCATAAGAGCTTTTGCTTTCTGGGCTGTGGCTAAAAATGTGTTTATTTGTTGTTGAACAGTAAACAGTTTAAAAGTGATAAATACCTGCACTTGAATCATTTTGTTTATTTATCAAACCCTCATATAATGTTTTTAGTTCAATATTTTTCATTGATATAGAATCAATCAATTTGTCAATAGTTGATTTATAATCAGTCTATAAGATTATTAATTAAAATACAGAATATATTAATTACATTATTTATGGTACCTCAATTAATGGGACACTGAAGTATTTATCGTATTTTGATTTGTAGATATTGAATTCACTCTCAGTTATATTTATTGAAACATCTGAATTTGTATTGGTAAAATATTTCTTCAGAGATATGAAATATTCCTCATCACTAAAACCCATTGATGTTGCCCAATGATTTATATGCTCCTCGGATACCTAAAATGTTCAATTAATAACATTTATGAAACTATGTTTTTCCTACCTTTGCAGTATATGCTAGGCCCTGTTGTAAAATTGTAATTTCAATTGTTCCATCCAAAAACGTTGTCACAATTTTATAAGATTTGTTGTCTTGTGTTAATGTAATAATTTTCGCCATTTCTGTCTGCTTGTTTTGATTAATATAAAACATCAAGGCAATTTATATACACAAAATAAAAATTGGTTGCATATCCATTTGTTAAATGTTTGATTGCGATATTCTTTTATAAAACTTTTACAGCCCCAATAATAATTAGTAAAATGTTACACTTGATCTTAATTTTAGATAATAGCTTAATTTTGTGGAGAATCATTTAGAATCTCACCATCTACAAATTACATTTCATATTTTTTGCATTCTGAAATGACAGAATGTTCTTCATCAGTTAATTCATCATCCTCTACATCCATTTTATTTGAATCTGTTCCATTATCAATATGAATGGAATTGTTAGATTCTCCATTCCCTAACTGATTGATACCAGATTTCACAACTTTATTCTCATGTTCATCATCTGAATCTGAAAGCATGTTATCAATTCTTTCAGGATTTGCCTCCTTGTTGTCAGTATCTTTCCCTTCTAATGTATCCATTAAGAATTGAATTCGACGTTTTTTCGAATTTAGTACCTTACAAAAACTTGAGTTGTAGTCTACTTTATATGTCTCAAAATCGTTAACTAAATCTTGAAGTTTTGCATCATAATATTCCGCATCTGCAATAATAGCTTTAATTTTAGTATTTATTGCTCATAATATTACCATATTACCAGTTTGGTTTTGGTTGATTGCTTTCTCTAAATTTGCGCAAGAATTTTCCAATTCTAAGCCTTCCAGTGCTAATGTTTCTATGATGTTTTCAATGGTCAAATCATAATCAGTCTGTAAAACAGTTTACATTTAATATATATGAAAATGTATTAAAAATGAAATTACCTTCTGCACAGGAGTGTAGAAATACTTCACCTTCATATTCTTATAAACAACCAGCTCATTGTTCACAATATTAATTGCAATGTGAGGATGAACAATTGAAAAATACATTCTCAGGGAATCAAAGTAGTCTTCAAAGTTAATTTCAAACTTTGTAGAGAATTTTTCAATATCTGCTTTTAATACCTTATATTATTTAAAACATTATTAAATATGAATTGAAATAAAAAAAAGTCTCATTACCTTACTGAAATAAGAGTTTCTTTCATTTAAAACAGTAACCTCAAAAGAATCATCCTCAGCAAACTTTGTTATAATCTTATATGTTTCATTATCATTCGTTATTGTTATTATGTTCGACATGGTGCGTTACTTACATACTATAACCACTTGATTTAATAACAATTTTCTATCGTTAAATCATATACGATAAGTCTGTTTGTGATTGTACGACTCAGTACGACTTCTTTACGATATTAAATGGCTTCAACCAATAAATTGGTGATTGGGTTGCATAAGCTTGTTAATTATAATTTGTTTAGGTGGAAATTTCTATACGAATTATCAATGTATCATGTTTGTATTGGTTATTTTTTAATAATATTGTAACATAAAGTTAGGAGATATTTACTGGAATTATTTTTTAGTAAAGAATACTATTTTTTCCATGCATAATTAAATTCTGAGTCATATTTTATCCACATCAAAATATAATAAGAAAGTATTTATTATCATTTACGGTCAGTTCTTTTTTAATGGAATATTATAGTATTGCTATAAATGAAGATAGGCAACCTGTTAAATAATTAATTTAAACCATTTCTATTTTTAAATTTCTTAAAAAAAAACATTTAAAACATAATTGATATAAAATAGAATGAATTCTTAAAATCGAATAAAAATAAAAATAATATACTAATTATAAATTATAATTATATTTTGTATCGATATGGATGGATGAGTCGTGTTTAGATGATAATTTATACATGATTTTGGATAGTATTTTAAAATTCTGCTCCTCTCTTGATATTGATGCGCGTCTTCTTAATGTTTTATTTTGTGAAACCTTGGAGACGGCAATCTCTAATGGGCTTTGGAAAATGGAGGCGGCTCAACGGCAGTAGGCGTACCTAGCTCTAACATAAGGGGTGTAGTGATCGTCGAAATTCTAATATTAGCATTAGCATTCATTGATTGTGTCTGGGGGAGGTTGAGACGGAGGGTGCACGAGTGTGTTTGTGTTGCGTGTCCAGCAGCCAGCAGAGTTTTTCCTCTTTCAGTCAGAGAGAGCTCTAATGTCAGGCGAGGGTGAAATGGCGAGTCCGCCGCAAAAGCAACCGCTGGAAAACACCGACAATAACGCGACTGCACCGTCGCTTGTTCGCAGAAGGAAACTGGTCGAGTGCGCCCAGGATACAATTGAACAAGGTAAAGAAACAACGCAAACAATAACAAAAAAAAAACAACAGACAACAGTAATAGTTTAATTATAAATCAGGTTGCGTGGTTAGAAGCGCTTCATCAATAATACCAGCAAAAACGCGAGCAGCGTGCGTTCGCTAATTAATAAGGGAACTTTTTAGTCCTTCGGGGAATATTAGTAGCTCAAAATCGATAATACGGCAAGAGCTTTTTTTCACTTTGCAAATATTGAGTGGATGCGCCGGTAACTTTCTGATTTTACTATTTTTTTTTCTTTCTGCTTTATTTGTGTAGCTTCCGAATTGATTAAACGAAGGATTCCTTGTGTTGGTCACGTCTTAGCACCCAAACGACTTTGGTTGAAACGGGTCTCAACGCCAAATTGCGACGTAGTCGTCGTCTTCCCACCTAATACCCAGGACTCTGTTCTTCTGTGGCTGCTGTCCAGGTTACGGCAGTCGCCCGGATTGACGGTCCACGTTAGACATCACGCATCTACCCAAAGCAGCGCCTTCTACTTAACAGCTCCAATTGCAATGTAATTTTCATTAGTCTCTAGATACATGATCAAACAAAACACTGATTGCATATTGCTCTAAGTTTGCTAAGGGCCGCAGAAGAATACCACTTGCCGAAATCACTGAAGGCTTCCAAAGGTGGTGGATTGAAAGAGTTTATCGCGCACGACGTGCAGTATTTTGAGGGTTCCGATAACGAGCAGAGCTTCTTCACCAGCCAAGAGCGACAATGGTTGGTTCTAAGACTTCTCGAGAGTATCAGGGCCAAAACTTCCGATTCCAACGCACTATCCGGATTGAACCTCCCTGAAGGCCAACCGATTGGTACTTACATTTTATTGACTATATTAAATGTTACATATATTATCAATGATTTAACAAAACTATTTTTAGTACCCAAATGCCTTTCTGCGGGTATAATTTCTCAAGTATTTCCTCTGCATGAACCATCGTCCCTTGACAAACTTCAAAACACGTGGGTTCGGGATGTCTTCGCTAAACAACCATTGGGTGAGAAAAATAAGTCAATAATAAATTAATTGTTAAGAAAAATATTTAACAAGAAAAATATTTAATACTAAACGAGTATATATTTGTTTAATTGTATTTTCAGATGAAATTGCAGAATATTTTGGAGTAAAAATCGCAATGTACTTTGCATGGTTGGGTCATTACACAACAGCGCTCAGTATACCAGCCGTTGTTGGTTTTATCTTCTGGGTAAGAACATTTGATCTTAGAAATTTTAGATAGATAGGAATATAAATGAATTTTCTATTGTATTAACAGTATAACAACAATGACATCACACCACTAATCCCTTCTTCTGTGAGTGTTATATGATTGCATGCATTTTATTTATTGGATTCATTAAATTGCAATTATTTTCCTCGAGTTTCTAATAAATGTTTACTTAATATAAATATTATTATGCAAAATAACATCTTTCTACTAACGATGATCTTCAAATTATAAATTGTTTTATTTCAAGCTGTGCTGCAATGGTAAACACCAAACTCTTGAGGACCTTGGATACGTGCTGTTCTCTGTGTTCAACATCGTTTGGGTTACAACTTACCTGCAGGCTTTCAAGAGATATTCCGCGGAATTAGCATTTCGGTGGGGCACTCTAGACCAGAGGGATGACCTACTTGCTGAACCTAGGTCTCTCTTTCGAGTAAGATTACTGAATTAGCTGTAGATGTGGCTTGCGTTGCAATGTTTTCCTTTTTCCATAACGTGCTTACCGCGAATGGCTTGATGTGCTGACCTTATGCAGGTCTCACGTCATGTGATCTGTTTTCAGGGTCCATTGCAGGAGAGTCCAGTTACTGGACGCTTAGAACCATGGCAACCAGCTTGGAAAAGGCATGTTTACAGGTATTGCGTGACAGTGCCTATCATTGCTGTCTGTCTTTCGGCCGTCTTTGTCGTCATGATAGCCTCGCTTCATGTCCAGGTAAATTATTTTGATGAATACACATTGCACACACATACATCTAATTTGATGTATATTTACTACTATGTTTGAAATATAATAGGATTGGTGGGATAACTTTGTGCAATCGAGAGGGTACCCCGATTGGTTGGGATACCTGCCCAAGATAATGCTGGCCGTAGTGATCACTCTTATGGACGAAGCCTATTTCAAGATCGCTCTATGGCTTAACGACAAAGGTAATCCTAACTTGTCCGACGACCTTCACCTGTCTTCAACTTCTGTCCATAGCTTGCTAATACAAACACGATTTGATTTCTCTTTCAATGCTTTCTTTTCTCATTTAAAATACAATAACTTAAATGAAGCAAGCTGGACTTCTTATCTTTTTTTACCTCTTTATCTATTCTCTTTAACATTAATAATTGTATTTTGTTTTCTATTGGTTTCTTTTTAATTGTCTTGTAACACAAAACAGTTATACCCTACCTAACTAGTGTACAGTTTTTAAGTAGTCTCGATTAATTTGTGGCGTGTTTTCCTCACGCTGCCATAAAACCCAAATCAGAAAACTACAGGCTTGAAACCAAGTATGAAAACCACCTCATCGGCAAAGTGGCTTTGGTTTGTATTTAATTTTTTTTCTGTTTTTATTTACATTTTTGTGTCTGTTGTCGTATTTAATTCTTTACTCTTTCTCAGTTTTATCTTTGAACACGTATCTAAAATAAAATGAATGTAAATAATTGTCATTGTTTAGATCAGAGCTTTCCAACCATTGCATCAAACTAATTTAAAGGTGTATATGCCTTCAATTGTATCAGATTTATTTTATTTCTTCAATTAATGATTTGGTTGGGAAGCACTGATAGAGATGGTTATATGCATGCAAATACATTAAACTGTGAATAACACGTGCAAGTGACAATATCCTACTTTGTGTTTTTCAGTTTCAATTTATCAATTCTTTCCTGTCTCTATTCTACATTGCGTTTTATCTCCAGGATCAGGCTAGGCTCAAAGAGGTAATACATTTTGTAAAGTTTCTCCTCTAACTATTTACATATGCATATACATTAATATTCATTATATATTTATTATTATTATTATTCAGCAATTAGCGGCGCTGTTAATTTCACGTCAAGTCATCGGAAATTTGAAAGAGTCCGCTATTCCGTACATATTGGAGCACATGAAATTAGCAAAGATCAGTTTTGATCTTTGGGGCGCATTGAGTCCTACCGGGAATAGATTACCACCTGGCGAAGGAGAAGAGGGTCAGGCCAAGAGCGAATCAGAAGAACCAAAAGACTCACCAGTGGATAAAAGAAGCATGAGCCAAGCAGAGCTTGAAAGCTCTTTGTACAAAGTGAGTTAGAAATATACAATGATACGCTGATGACAAATCTATATGGAGTGTCCAAATATATATGGAATAATCGTTTTCCGTCTTATTTATATATTTCAAGAATTCATTCAATTACTTACATATTTTAAAGTACGGTTAAATTATTTATCTTTATTTGAATTTATTTTAAGAAAGAACACAATCTATTCCATAGGTTGAGACACGTTATGTATAGAAATAAATAAATATTTGATGTGCTTTCTTTATTCCTGTGTATTTTTTCGTTGTCGTGGTCAGTTGGGCAGATTGGTATGTCTTTGCTTCGACGGATTGTTTCGTTACATTTTCCATGCATGGACATAGTTGTTTTAGAATGAAACTCAGTAGATTTAACAGCATTTGATTGCATGCGCTGTTAAATATTTTAGCTTCTTAGTGGAGTATTGGAATTAATGAAACATGTAAATTAATGAATTTTAAGGAAGTCGAAGTTATATTAATGAAAGTATTAATTTTATAGTATGATGGCACGTTTTCCGAACACCTTGAGATGACTATTCAACTTGGCTACGTGATTTTGTTTTCCTCTGCCTTTCCGCCAGCTGCGATCTGCGCCATGTTTAACAACATGATAGAGATCAGGAGTGATGCCTTCAAGTTAGCGTACGTTTGCCAAAGGCCGTTTGGACAGAGGGTTCCCAATATTGGAACTTGGCAGGTTCGAGCCGATGATTACTTTTTTTACATGGAATGACACGTTGACATATATGTTGATTAAATCCTAACACATTTTAGCACTGCATGGAGTACATGAGTATAATAGCCGTTTTGGTCAATTGCGCTTTGATCGGACTTTCGGGACAGGTGCATCGCATGTTCCCAGATATGACTGCAACCCAGACTATCCTGTTGATTGTGGCATTGGAGCACATTATGTTGTGTATTCGGTTTATCATTACTTGTGCCATTCCCGATATTCCTGGATGGTTGGCTACGGAAATGGCAAAGATCGAATGGGCCAGAAGAGAGGCAAGCCGCTTGTCCACTGCTACTCCGTCTCCCGAGGACGTTACGTCCAAACTTATCGGTCGGTTCTCCGTATCCCCGAGCCATTCACTGGTCACCCAAGAACCCAAACCAAAGGAGGACAAAAGGAAGGAAGACGTGAATGCCAAGAAACGGGGATCTGCTACGAGTATATCATCAGCTCCGACGCCGACGACTCCGACTTCGCATGTGATCCACAAACCTATATCCATTACACCTGACAGCATTCAAGCTATTCCACCATTTAAACCAAGAAAGTCTAAAGATTGGATGCCTCTCGAGGTGATTATATTACAAATACTTTAAGAATATTAAATCTTAATTATATACATTCATTTCCAAAATTATTTCTTTACTATAGGGTGAGAGTCACCATTTAACCATTGGACCTACCGGAGGAGCAGAATGGGCCAAGAAGCTCAAAGAAGAGAATGACATCCATAGAAGCACGGATTGTATCACACCTAAATTAAGCACTGTATTTCATTTGAATATCATATCTTATAAGGCTTTTACTAATAGATGAACTTTAAGGATGCTTCAAGCTCGGATTCAGATTTGCTGAAGAGCAGTCCAGTTTGGCCTCCTCGTCCAAGGTCACCATCGGGGGCAGCGAGCTCTGCGCCTATAGTTATTAAAACTAAGACGGTTACAACTGAAGCTTCCCTCAGCGACAGCGCTAAGAGTGTTTCCAGTCAAGAAACGGCAGACGAGGCCGCACGAGGTTTGTTTTAAAAAATATAGTATGTCGAATGTATTTATCTATTCATCCTATCTTCCCATCAACAGCTGCCGAAGAACTGGCTGCGAAGAAAACACGTGTCAAGCAGAGTTTAATGAAGAGGGCTAGATCCGTGGCGATTTTTTCTCTTAAACTTAAAGAGAGACGAGCCCGTGAAGCTGCAGAAAAAGCCAATAAAGCGCCGATCACGCCAACCGCTCCGCCTCCTCCACCTCCGCAATGCGGCGGCGGCGAGCTTTCTTGTATTCCAATAGAAAAGGTCAGTTACTACGTCAGAAGTCTATCGAAGATCTAACCTGTACTAATCTTAATCAATAGCTGATACAATTGGAGGATTTGCGACAGAACGCGTTGCAGCGCACCAACCAAAGTGGCTCTCTTTCATAGTGACCTGTAAATTTAGAAAGAGTGTAAAACAACAACAACAACAACAAAATCTTGATGTAAAAACCAAAAACATAGTATTGTAAATCTTTTATAGTTATTATGTAAGCCTATATGAATATTAGTATTAAGGAATCCGTCGCTTCGTTCATAGACTGCTTGAGCAAAAGTGCTATATGGAAAATAGGATAAAAAAAAAATGAGATATTCATATTTTATGCCATACAAGTTTAAATCTGTAACGAAATATACAAGTCGAATTTCACATTTTTTATTTAATAAACGAATTAATTACTGTAAGTGTTGACAAGACAAACTAAGTAACACACTTTATTTTGATTAAAAGAATTAATATTGTATATGTATTAAATAACCAAACGAAGATAAAAAATTAAATGTTTATAAATAATAAATGTGAATTTTATTTATTATGATAAATAGAATAAAAAAAATAAAGAAACAATATTGATTACATATCCAATTGATGCTGTTGAGATTTTACGAATTATATAAGCTAACTATACATTTCAGTTGCGGATTTAAAACAAGTCAATGTATGGTTTACGTAAATTGTATAGGTGTATAATCATATCAGTTTTATTATTTAAAATAAATCCAAATGCAAATTTTAAGCAAAATTTAGTAAAATTCTTGAAATTACTGAAAACTATTAAATAAGTATTTTTTTATTACAAGTATTATCAACACTTTTGTGGTTTTAATGGTCCTACAATAAAACGTAAACCTTTTATATCAATGTTTATTTATAAAACAATAAATTATAAATGAATAATACATGCATATTAGTAAAATAAATACAAGAAGGATGAAAATCAAATAAATAATTATATGTAGTTATATGTAACTTATGTGTAATTGCTTTTAATTAATTATACATAAAAGAAGTAACAATTTGAAAGTAATATAAATGTTAGAACAGCTATGCTATATTCAATTTTAAAAATTTCATATTCTATTGGTATTTTTTGCTGTTAGTAATGACTTTATGTTTGTTTCTAATTTAGGAAATTATTTTTTATACCATTTGCTGCTCGTTGTTGAAATAAATTGGTGAAAATCTTGTGGCCCGTTAATATTAAATGAAACCTCTTCGAAAATACTATATTCTTCATAACTTCCCATCATTTGATTGATTTATGTATCCACCTTATCATAAATCTGTACTTTACTTTCTTTTTGATCGTAGCATGTTACTTTATTCTCTTTGTATTTCTAAAAGAGTGTAAAAATAATTTATTAATAGATTTATCATTCATTTTCAATATTTTAATTACGTTTTTCGTCATAAACACAATTAGAATTGTCAGGATCGACAGCAATGTCAGAAGTTGAAAGAACATGAGAACGGCTATATACTTATCACACATATTCACGAAAAACTGCTAACTGAACCAGCGAATATTGACTGAATTTTGCTTACAATTCAGAAAATTCTACGTTATCAAGGAAGTCAGAGATATGGATTTATTTATTTAAGTATTTCTGGAGATACGGTTTCCTTAATATACCAAATAATATTGCAGAATTATAGCGTTCGTTTAATCAGATACGTGATAATACTAATCTGTACTTGCTCATTACAAATTAGTAATATATGGAAATTAACTAATAGGAAATATGAAAACTCTTCAATTTTATTTTCATCAAATTATTAAGTACACTATAAATATATAGTTTATTGTAGTCATGTTAATAGTTTGACATTAGGAAATTTGAAAAAAAAAGTGATGCACATAAATGTTGAATTTTAGCATGTAAATCAGATATATATAATTATTTGCTATTTGATCAGCCTACGTATAGTAATAACAGTAAACCTTATAGGTGAATGAATTTAATAATCAAGAACATAATCACAATATTCTATATAATGGTAACACAATATAAATAAAGAAATCGCAAGTGCATTGCGAGAATAATAATTATATAAATGTAAAATATTTAACATTAAATTTTATGGACGTTTACATTAGTAATACCTTGTATTTGTTTATAACAATATAGGTAAAACCGCGACTAGATGGCATTTTTGCCAGATTTGTGCAAATCTATTCACAACTTGATTTTGACCTGTTTTGGGAGTGACCTGGTGCGCGTGCTCTTCGCGCACGGTTTGTCTCCCATCAGATGATGCTTCCATACGAATTCTTCATCCTCCAAATTATCATGACATAGAGGGCAGCGATTGCAGCCCTCGGCGATCTCTGGAAGAAGACATTAGTTGGAATTGATGGTGATTGTATTTATCATGTTGTACCGGAACAGTGGAGCGCGTGTATCTGTAACTCAACTACTTTGACGGCCTCCGTACACGACGAACACTGCGTGTAGAAATCACGATTTTCGCACTCCATCAGGAGGTGATCGGTGAGTGAAGCAACTTCGACGACCTGGCTGCACTCCCTGCAGCGCACCAGCATCGGACACGAGCGCCAGTAGTGCGAATTCATTGAATTACTGACCTGGAAGATGCTCGCCTCGGATTGACCGCAGAATATGCAATGTCTGAAACTCCAGAGTTTGAAAATTCTTTTCAAGGTTTAGATGCGATAGCTTGTACTTCTCCTCTTCATCGCGTTGTGAACTATTGCTGGGAGTGGAAATTCCGCTGCTAGCGTTATGTCTCTCCAATGTTAGATCACCGTTATTTGTCGTCTGCATGTTGATCTTTACGATATTACCGCCGCTGATGCTCTTTGTCAATTGGTAACCTGGTTTACGTTCGGTGCCGTTCTGGTCATAGCTGAATGTGCTTGCTATATTAGACGAGCTCTGACACTTATTTATCGTTTGGACGGGAGGTTCGGGGCTGGTACAGTCTGGATTTGTGCTGATGGAGCACTGTTGAATTAGACGATTTCTCTCTAATAGTTCCTTCTTCCTCTGTAATTAATCTTATATAGCAACAATATGTCAATTCGCTAAAATGCTACCTCAACATCGATTTTGTCAAATTCATGGAAGAGTTGTCTATAAAGAAGATTCCTCCTGGTAATGTCATCATCTGGGGGAAGTTGTTTACGCACTAGTCGCGGGTTCACCTTATACACTAAGACTAGAATTCGCTCAGCGACTTTTCTCACAGCCTCAGCAGGATGGTGGATACCGCTCGAACCGAACTCCGACAAAGTTCGACATGTTAAGCCACTGCAATGAGGTGCAATTAGATAAAGTCATTTTCTTTCAAACACGAATACCTTTGTTTATCAGTTGATATTCCTTGATTGATGATCAATTGTTCTACCATCTCAGCGCGACTCAAAGCAAGTCTGGGATGAGTGCTGCTTGTGATCGGCCTGCTCAGATGCACTGGAATCAAATGTAAAGCCCTGAAACATAAATGTACATGTTATATAATATATAATATTATTCAGCTGATTGTAATTACCTGACATCCTTGCAATCAGCCATAGTAAGTATGGTGTGGACGGCCATATGATGGATGCGAGCGCTTGTATCGCCTGATTTGGTGAGTAGTTCTGGTAGGAGTTTATCCACGCTTCTTGATACCTCTGCTGGAGATACTCTAAATCCAAATCGAAATTAAATATATAAAGGCTAATAAATTCTACGTGTCTACAAACCTGCCAGGAATGTACTGTACAAAGTACAAACGTATAACTTCGTTCGCCAGGTTGTAAACGGAGAAGACCTTGTCGCGAAGTGCACGGTGCAGCAAAAAGATAGCTGCTCTTCCAGTCTTGTTGGCGGTGTGCATTCGGGTATGGTCGTAAGCTAGTAAATCATCTTTAAGGCAGTTTAGACCTTCCTCCTTGTCTAGGTAGTGCTTCGAGTAAAACTTCTCAACCAGTTCCGCCCCGAAGACAAGAATTGGTAGCGCTGCTTGCTTCTTCTCACGTTCCGTCAACTTCGATGACGCCGCTCTGTGTTCTATGTCCATTTGGCATTCTCTTAAAAATTCATTCGTTTGAGAACTAGAAATATCACCAAGCTTAGTATACTTAATGATCAATGATAGTCGAAGTGCAACAATTTCTTGTTCTTTTTTTAATTCTTCATACAGTTAAACTTCTAATAACAAAATATATATCATCAAAATTAATGCTACTATTTAATAAAATAAATATAAAATTTATAAAGTATTAAGTTTAAATATTACTTCCTTATACTTATAACTTTATCTTTATAAATATACATATAATGTTATTTAAATATTATGATTTTATTAAAACTATTTTAACATTATAACAATGTCCTTTATTAAAACTTCAAAATAACATTAATCTGGAGGTAGTAATAAGTTTGTAGAAGTTTTACTGTGTCTACCGCATTTATAGGCTCAGTGTTTCATCCTTATCTGGATCCTTAATATTATTTATTTAAACTAAAATTATTGACATTTTACTTAATATGTGTATATGTAGGACCAAGTTAGATCAAAAGTACTCGCATCGTTTAAGCCAATTGGTGTGCGCTTCTTAGGTTTATGGGATCTACTCACTGTCTTAGCGTAGGCAACGGTTTTTCTTCGTATTGTTCGTAAGTCGATTTAACTATGGATCCTGCCGATTTATTTCTCCTCCTGAAGGAATTTCGGTGCTGCAGATTGGTGGGACTACCAGTGCTTGGAGACCCAGTCTTTGGGCTCTGGTGCTTGTGCAAAGGCGATGGTGGTGCATGATATATGTGCGGAGCACTAGGTGAGGTGGATCTCTTTCCATCCGGTATTCTTAAAGCTGACGGTGACAAGGGTTGCTGTTTATCAGTCTCATCCGCAAATTCGTCATTCTTCGGACAAATCTGTCCAAAATGAATAATTAGTAAATGTTACGACACCAAATGGGATCTCATACTCCTTTCATTTCTAAAAGCTGATCAATGTTAAGCTGTTGGTAAATGCCGGTCCTAAACTCATCCATTTGATTCTTCTTGTGGCTGGCTCTTTCGTAATCTTCTAATTCGATGGCGTGCCTCTTTTCCAATTCATACTTACCCAGTTTCCCTCCTGCTTCCTTCAATTGTTCCATAGCCTGTTTCAGCTTCCTCGCATATTCAAAACGTTCGTCTACGAAAATTGATTATAGCAATATTATTTCATCTGTTAATTACACTTACTAATTACTGCCACGTGTTTCTTCAGTTCCATTTCGCGAATAATCCTTGCGACCTCAACGTCAACATACATGTCAAAAGCCAGATCATCGTAAGGCGAAACGTAATCGGGATCATTCAGTATAGCATCGAGCTTATCCAATTCAACAACATCACCGCAAGACGATTTCCGTGGCATTTCCTTTTCAATTCCAAGTATGTTGATAGCAATCAAACTCACCTAAAAAATAGTATTTCTATATTGAATCATATTTATTTGTATTTAAATGTTCAAATGCATATATTTTTTTTGTTTAGAAGAATAATTATACTAATTATATAAGTATAATACCTGGTTATGTATGTTATAAGTGTTGTTATGATTTTTGCTGAGTTTGAGCTTCAAGAAGGAAGCAATTGTGGTGGGAACGTTGGCCGATTTAAGCTCACGACTCTTGAAGCCAGTGCTCTGGTTATCGGACAGAGTTACGTAACCCAAGTAATCCCAACTAATGCCGTTCACGTCCACCACGGTATTGGTGTCTTCGTTACTTGCAAACAGTTCCACCTTTGATGCTGTAAATATGTCAAAACATTAATGTTAAATACTATTAATATTAACAAATATTACGTATCAGATACTGATGCATCAGCAGCTGTATCTTGCTCAGGTAGCATCGCTTCGCTAGTTGTATGATGATTTCCTGAGGATAGTCGCAGTTCTTTTGCGATTGCCATCCTTTGACCGTCGGTCCATGATTGTTTAATTCGTTTGCTTTGAATTTGGGATCCTCATCTTCAAGCAGAAACGGATAAAAAAAATAAAAATTGAGAAATTATATTATTTTCGGTACCTGTTACATAGACCACACTAAACTCGATTTGCTTGGGCATTTTATCTCAGTTGAAACTATAAACACTATTCCTGTGCAACATTTCCTATTGAAGACGTAATAAGTACACTCTTTTTTTTGCTTCTCCCTGTTGAACTATCGATTCTTAATTGCAGCTAGCCATCCGACCTCCTTCACGTGTATTGTGCCTCGTCGACTGCATTAGATAGAACCTGGAGCGCAATTGGATTTTATTGATCCAGACGGTGGCGGCGGCGACGTATGCCGCCCCTCTTCTCTATGCATGTTCTTGCCATCCTTTAGGGATGAAGTTGTACTTTATTATCAATTTAATTGGAGGTCGCACGTTTCAATGTTGAATGTTAAAAAAATTTAAACAAATATAATGAAGTACCGAGTTGCTGAAAAATGAACAAATCGATTTGTTTGCTGTTACACATTAATCGGTATTAACGCGCGACAGGAAAGATATACATTTCTCATACCATTCAGAATATTGGTATGATTATATATAATTCTCTACAAATATTTAAATATATCAAAAAAAATATAATTCTTCATAAAATTTGGTTTTAAATTATATGATTTGAACTTTTCATAATCTTTCAAGCATTCGAAATATACAAAATAATGAAAAGAATTTCCTAGTATTTTAACACAATTATTATACGTACTTCTCAAATTTTTAAATCTATATTCTATTAATTTAATTAAATAAAGTTATATACAGTGACTATAAATAATATTACGCATCTTTTTCAAATAATAAAACAGTTTTGCCAACATATTTCTTGTAATTTATTTTCTTATCATTTATTTTTTTAAATATGAGAATTTCCTATATTTGTTAGGTAATCAAATAATCATATCAAATTAAATCATTAGAATTATTAAAAAATTAATTTATTTTTTATTGTTCCTTTGCTGCTGTTCAGGTTTGAAGTCTTATTTTTTATTCTATGCTGACACCTCAGCTGGGACTGATTTGAACACGTTGTTGGTTGCCTATAGGGTATGAGGTGTTATCTGTCGAGCGCAGAGCATATTTGAAATTAAATATTGCATCATTTTATTTTCACAGAAACTTACTTCAGTGGGATTTCTAATTGGAACGAACATAAAATGAATATTACATGTTCGAAAACGAGTCCACCCGTGGGTAAGTAACGTGTTCCAAATTAGGTTATGATTTATTTATATATTGACTCTCTCTCTGTCCAGGTGGTTTCCTGTTTGCTAAATATATTGAGGGACAATATAAAAATGTGGCCAGCATCAAATGGAGCACAGAGTCTGCTGTCGATAAACATGGTGATAAATATCAATGTTCATCTGATATCCAAATGTGCAGAGTTCTTGCTAAACTCACAGATGAGGATGGATGTTATGGAGAGAATGCCCTGGAGAAGTCACAGGTTGATAGTTGGTTGAACTACTCGACAGGACCATTACTTTCCAAAGCAAATTTCACAGCTAGTCTGGAATATCTAAATAAAGCTTTGACTTCAATGACTTACTTAGCTTGCAAGAGGTTAACAATTGCTGATATTTCAATTTTTGGTGTACTATATGGTATTAATTGTCATAATTTGTTATCTTGCTCATGAGATTTGAAATGGCTTTGTATTACAGCTAATAAGCAATGGCAAGGTTTGGTTTCAAAGAAGGAAGCGCCAGTGAATCTTTTGCGTTGGTATAATTTCATAAAGGGACAGCAAGATCTCGGTCATGCTCTTACTTGTATACCGGAAGATGTTAAGGCTGTTATGAGTCCGGTTTCGAGTAGACAGACAGCGGACAAAAGCGGCCGCGCTCAAGAAGGCAAATTTGTAGATTTGCCTGGTGCGGAGATGGGTAAAGTGATAGTCCGTTTTCCTCCAGAAGCATCTGGTTATCTGCACATTGGCCATGCTAAGGCTGCCCTGCTTAATCAGTACTACCAGCAAGCTTTCAATGGAAAGTTGATCATGCGATTCGACGATACCAATCCTGCTAAGGAGAACGTCCATTTCGAGAAAGTCATCCTCGAAGATGTGGCTATGCTTGAGATCAAACCGGATATGTTCACGCATACATCACAATATTTCGATCTTATGATCGAGTATTGCGAGAAAATGCTCAAAAATGGCACAGCCTATGTAGACGATACAAATGCGGAAATGATGAAAGAGCAGAGAGACCAAAAGATGGAAAGCGTCAACAGGAATAATTGTAGGGATATCTGTTAACTTAATTCAACTATGTAAATGAATACTGTTTTTAGCATACGAAAAGAATCGCGCTATGTGGGATGAAATGGTGAAAGGTTCCGCAAAGGGTCAACAATGTTGCGTGAGGGCTAAGATTGACATGCAAAGCCCTAATGGTTGCATGAGGGATCCCACTATCTATAGGTGCAAGAACGAACCGCATCCTAGGACTGGAACACAATACAAGTACATAAAATGTGATTAAATGCAATTTCATCTATTTATTATATTGAATACTTTTAGAGTATATCCAACTTATGATTTCGCTTGTCCAATTGTGGACGCAATTGAAGGTGTTACTCACACTCTTCGTACTATGGAATACCATGACAGGGATGCCCAATTTTACTGGTTCATAGATGCTTTAGGTCTTAGAAAGCCATACATCTGGGAATATAGTAGACTGTCCATGACCAACACTGTATTGAGTAAACGGAAACTTACTTGGTTCGTCCAAGAAGGTCTCGTCGATGGATGGTAAATAACTATAGTTAATGTTTCAATATAATATTAATTTTTAATTTTGTAGGGATGATCCACGAATGCCGACAGTACGCGGTGTTCTTCGCAGAGGTATGACCGTGGAAGGTTTGAAGCAGTTTATCATTGCTCAGGGATCAAGTCGTTCTGTTGTCTTCATGGAATGGGACAAGATCTGGGCGTTCAACAAGAAGGTCATTGATCCTATTGCTCCGCGATTCACCGCTCTAGAACACGAAAATCCTGTGTCAATTATCGTAAAGGGTGTTAAGGAAGAAAAGACTTCTGTGCCCAAACATCCCAAGGATACTAAAATCGGGAACAAAGATGTGTGGGTTGGTCCAAAGATATTGATCGATGGTGCCGATGCCGAGTCCTTGAAGGAGGGCGAAAATACTACCTTTATTAATTGGGGTAACTTAATGATCAAGAAAATCAACAAGTAATGTTATTGTCTATTAATTTTATTCGAAGAGAAAATTTATACTGTACATTTTATTTGCAGACAAAATGGAAAAGTAACGTCTGTTGAAGCCGAACCCAACTTGGATAACAAAGATTACAAGAAAACAGTTAAACTCACGTGGTTGGCTGAAACAGCGAAGGCGGAGTTCACTCCGACTTGGTGCGTTTATTTCGATCATATCATGAGCAAACCATTGTTGGGCAAGGATGATGATTTCAAAGACTTTGTTGGACACGAAACAAGGGTATGTGTTGATGCAGTTATCCGTTTATACATATTAAATTATTTAAATATATTATAAATCTTGTGGCAAATACAAATTTTATATTTATAATTTATTTATTCATTTTTTCAGAGAGAAGTCAAGATGCTCGGAGATCCAGAATTGAGGAATTTGAAGGAAGGCGATATCATCCAATTGCAACGTAAAGGATTCTTCAGAGTCGATGTACCATACAGTCCTCCAAGCGAGTTCAGCAATGTCGAACAGCCAATCGTTTTGTTCTATATTCCAGATGGTCATACAAAGGAAACGCCCACCGCGAACGTAACAGCTTCCAAAGTGCAGACCACTAATAAACAGGTAAAACTGATTCCATATTGACCTACTATTTTTGTTTTATTAATCTAGAACGAACCGGTGAAAGTCGTGATTGTTCACCAGTGAAAGTAAAACTTCAGTTAAGAGAAAACGTACATCTGTGATCGAAGACAGTTTAACACATATGTGCTTTTATTCAATTTAACATATTTGGTAAATTTGAGTTGAATATTTCGTTATATAAATTTAAAAAAAATCTTTTTTTTATGCTGCAACGATTATTTAGTATTTATTAGTGGTCTTAACCTATCTAATCTATAGACTTTTTATTGCTGCAATTATATTGAATGTTATTTTTTTAGAGTAAGGAAAGTGGATCTAGCAAACAAGGCTCGCCGAAACCAAGCAGAACTGCTGTTGATATTAATGATGAAATTGTGAAGCAAGGTGATACTGTGCGGAACTTGAAGACTCAAAAATCTCCTAAAGCCGATATCGACAGTGCGGTAAAGATTCTATTGGCACTTAAGACTGAATACAAAGAGTTAACTAAATCTGACTGGAAACCTGGTTGCGTGGCATCAGCTCCAACCTCTGGTAACACTGACGATTTAAGTTCAAAGATTTCAGCACAAGGCGAAAAGGTAAGATTGACTGATAGAATATTTAATAGTAATCTAAAATATTTCTGACTTAAGGTAAGGAAATTGAAGTCTGAAAAGGCTGATAAGGGAACAGTCGATGTTGAAGTGAAAGCTTTACTGGCTTTGAAAGCTCAATATAAGGAGTCGACTGGCAAGGATTGGAAACCAGAACCTGCTGCAACTATTTGCCCTGCGTCATCGTCATCGCCAAACAATAGTGAAATATTAGCCAAGATCACTCTGCAAGGTGTCAAAGTTAGAGAGCTTAAATCGAAGAAAGCTGATAAAGCAGCGATCGACGCCGAGGTGAAGCAACTGTTGGCTCTCAAAGCTGATTTCAAAGCTTTGACTGGTAAAGATTGGACTCCGGATACAAAAAGTTCGGGGCCTGTAATCGCCATATGCCCAGCTAAGCCTCCAAGTGGTGAGAACGAATTGCTCGAAAAAATTGCGTCTCAAGGTGAGAAAGTGCGAGATTTGAAGTCCAAAAAGGCGGATAAGGCTGCAATCGATGTCGAAGTGAAGCAGTTGCTATCGTTGAAAGCAGATTTCAAAAGTGCGACTGGTAAGGATTGGAAACCTGGAATGGCTCCAATCAAAGATGTTTGCACTACAGCAGTTAATTCTGAAGACAAATTGTTGAGTGAAATTGCCAAGCAAGGAGATAAAGTTCGTCAATTGAAAACTGGTAAGTTAAAAGTAAAATATTGCTTTTTTAGATTTATATTAATTATTGAAATAATTGCAGAAAAGGCCGATAAATGTGCTGTGGATGTCGAAGTGAAAAAACTTTTGGCATTGAAAGCCGATTTTAAATCTGCTACTGGTAAAGATTGGAAACCAGGTATGCAACCTTCTGCCCCATCTCCAGTATCCCCACCTCCTGCTACTGATTCTGGAGCTTCCGGAGATTCAGCAAAGGATGAATTGACCGCTAAAGTTACGGCTCAAGGGGATTTGGTCAGGAATTTAAAGACTCAGAAAGCATCTAAGGATGAAATCGATAGCGCCGTTAAAGTCTTGTTAGAGTTGAAAGTTCAATACAAAACTTTGACCGGCACTGATTTTCCTGTCGCAGGTAGGACTCCCAGTAAACCGAAAGAGGTTAAAGAAAAGGTTGTAAAGCAGAAAGCACAGCCTAAAGAAAAGAAAGTTGTTGATGTGAACAAGGTGATAAATTAATATTTTTCTAAAAGAGTATACAATAATTTTAAGTTTTCCTATATAGGTCGAAGATGGAGCAGGAAAGAAGCAAACTCGTTTGGGTTTGGAGGCTAAGAAGGAAGAGAATTTGTCAGATTGGTATTCTCAGGTGATCACTAAAGGAGAAATGATCGAATATTATGACGTGTCGGGTTGTTATATCTTTAGACCATGGTCGTTTGCCGTTTGGGAAGCGATCCGAGATTGGTTTGATATAGAAATCAAGAAACTTGGTGTGCAGAACTGCTACTTCCCCATTTTTGTGTCGAAAGCTGTGTTGGAAAAGGAAAAAACGCATATTGCTGATTTCGCCCCAGAGGTACGTTTTGTTTGCAATGTGTTTCACAATCAAATACAGAGAGAATTATTTTATAGGTAGCATGGGTAACAAAATCAGGAGATTCTGATATGGCCGAACCCATTGCAGTCCGTCCTACATCCGAAACTGTTATGTATCCCGCGTACGCCAAGTGGATACAATCTTATAGAGATTTACCAATCAAATTAAACCAATGGAACAACGTCGTGGTATGTACTTTTTAGATATGAAATGATCATGATATATTTAATTACTTTATCACAAAAAGCGCTGGGAATTCAAACATCCTCAACCGTTCTTGAGAACACGAGAGTTCCTGTGGCAAGAAGGACATACGGCATATGCGAACGCTGAAGAAGCCAAAGTGGAAGTGAAGACCATCCTGGACCTGTACGCACAAGTGTACACGGACCTTCTTGCCATTCCTGTTGTTAAGGGCAGAAAGACCGAAAAGGAAAAGTTCGCTGGAGGTGATTTCACGTACACAGTGGAAGCTTTCGTCTCTGCTAGTGGACGAGCTATTCAAGGCGCCACATCTCATTTCCTTGGACAAAACTTCTCGAAGATGTTCGACATCATCTATGAAGACCCCGAGACTCAGGAGAAGAAGTTCGTCTATCAGAACTCCTGGGGTATCACGACAAGAACTATAGGTACATTTTGATAACCATATTTCGTTATTATTTATATCTAATGTACATATTTTAGGTGTCATGATTATGGTGCATGCCGATAATCAAGGATTAGTGTTACCACCAAGAGTTGCTAGCGTTCAAATTGCAATTGTTCCGTGCGGGATCACGGCTAGCTTATCTGAAGCTGATCGCAAGGAACTTCAAGTCTCCTGTGACGCTTTAGAAGTTGAACTGAAATCAGCAGGTGTTCGTGTCAAAGGCGATTATCGTGACAATTATTCTCCAGGTTGGAAGTTTAATCATTGGGAATTAAAGGTTTATTGGTAAATATCTATTTTTCTAGGACTGTTTTAACTTGAATCATATTTTAGGGTGTTCCAATCCGCGTGGAGCTCGGTCCAAAGGACATGAAGAACAAACAATTGGTTGCAGTTCGTCGTGACACCGGTGAAAAAATCACGATTAAACGCGAATCCGCTGCTAAAGACCTGGCTAATCTTTTGGAGGCTATCCAAAAGAACTTATATGATAAGTAAGTGTAAATCCAATTAGGCCACTTAATTTTAAATGAACTTATAAATAACATTTTATTATAGCGCCTGCAAAGACTTGGATACTCATAAAGTGACGTTAACTGATTGGTCACAGTTTGGACCAAATCTCGATAAAAAGAACATAATTTTGGCTCCGTTCTGCGGCGACATCGATTGCGAAGAAAAGATTAAAGCTGATAGCGCGAGGTAATAATAAAGTTTACTCAATGCTCTTGTACATCTTTATCATTTTTGGTTACAGAGATGATAGCGAGACGGCTGAACCTGGAGCACCATCTATGGGTGCCAAGTCCTTATGCATACCATTGGAGCAACCTGCAAATATTAATGCTACGGATAAATGTATCCATCCTGATTGCAAGAAGAAACCGCAATTCTACACGCTGTTTGGAAGGAGCTATTAAGAAAATGGCATTCGTCAATTAAATAATATATTTTGTCGGTTAAACAATAACCTATTTAAAATATTTGTAATAAAATTCATAAAAAATATAAAATAATGCACATTCATGTTAAAATAATTAAAAATATAATTGACTAGTTTTGCTTTTTACTTCTTTGCACTAGCGTCGGTCTTCTGGATATTATCGTCAATCAGTTTGTGTTCTCTTATAATTAATTCTTTTAATTCATCCTATGAAAAGACAAAACATAAATGTATACAATTTATAAACAACCAACAAATATGTACGTACACTCCATCCTAGTTTGTCAGCCAGGACTTGACACTGTAAATCACAGTCGCCTTCCATCAATATATCTCTATAGTTATTTGGATTATCAAATTCCAAATTTCCAGCCTTCTCGTTATTAATTAGCACTCGAGGACAAGAACTAGCAACCCTGTTGTGTAGAAATAAAGAAAATCAATGTTTTGTCATTCAACAAAAAATTGTTTGAAGATCTCACCTCTCTGGAAGCGAACCGAACGGTTGGACTGTCAAAGAAGATCCCATTATAATCAATAAATCACACTTTTTAAAATCACTTTTGGCCAGTTTGAAGAATCTCAAGGGCAAGTTTTCTCCAAAGAAAACGATGTCGGGTTTGACAACACCTGGACAATCTTCGCAAATCGGAGTTTCATCATTGAATATCCTTACTTTCATCCAATCTTGACTGTATTCCTTCCTACATCCTAGGCAGTGACCAGTGTGAAATGTCCCATGAGCTTCTACAAGCTTATCGTTAGACACACCAGCCACTCTCTCCAATGTATCAATATTTTGAGTGTAATGCCTCAGCAGAAGGCCTTTCTCCTCCAATAATTTAATGAAATAATGGCTCTTTGAGGGTTTAAAAGTTCCTGGATATAGCTCCTTTGCAAGCATAAAGAATGGTTTTGAGTTCATGAAGAAATAATCTAGAGTAAATATAGCTTCAGGATGTGGTAAATCATATTTTTGTAGGTTGTCATATAATCCAGAGCCAGGGGTTCGAAAATCTGGAATCCCAGCAGCTGTAATAAAACATCAATACATTTATAAAATTTATACAAACATTTTAAATTGAATATGCAAGTACTTCCCTTGCAAATTAAGGATATTTTATAAATTAAATATGTTTCACATATATAATTTGTTTTCAAAGCATCAAATAAAGTATTTAATTATAATATTTATTTATTTACGTACTATATTTAAATGTTACTTACAAGTCGATATCCCAGCTCCAACCATGGTAACTATATTCTTGCATTTCCCACTTTGAATGAACTTCACTACTTCATCAATTGTCGGAGACTCCAATACATGTTTTTGTTCCTCCAAACTAAATTTTTCACTGAGGAAACTGGTCAGGGCATCAATCTTGGATGCCAAACCCTCTTTGTTTTTTGAATTTTCTTCTTTCTCTTCTGCATAAACATGACCAATAGGAAATTTCCAATAAATATAAAAAAAACATTCATGACTACTTACCCTCCTTGCTGGTCGACGGTATTGATGACATCTTTACAATTCACTTGTAAATTTGAAGCAATTTTAAGTGGATATTATCTAAAGAATTATTTTTATTAAAATTATCAATTTAATAACCTATAATAATAAATATATATATGTATAGTATTACTTGACAATCTGGAATGACCAACTTTACAAAACGAAAATAATCTAAGTTATTTCTAAAATATATTTGGTTATTTTTAAAATAATTTTTGAACAAATTTATTATCGCACATCGGTATTTAAGATTTGGATTTAAAATAAATGCTTATTATAATATGATTTATTACTTTATTATACACATATTGTTATAGAAGTTGCATATTCAATAAAATAACAAGAAAAGGGTCCAAAACTTTCTGAGATTAACTGAACAAGTATTTTGTCTATTTTTATATAGATAGATACCAATAAATAGGATTTGGCTTAACTATGAAGACATTAATCTATAATATATATATTACATATTCAGTCATAAGCTAAATAAACTATTTTCTTGCTTGTAAGTCGATGAAGTAAAGTTTTCTTAATGTTTTACATTTTTTACTGTGGTCTTAAAACTTGTGAGTAGTTGAGAAAACCTGTTTAATGGCATAACCAATAGAAACAACTTACGTTGAATATTTAAAAACAAAACGAAGTATTGTTGAATGATGCAAATTATACAATTTATTTTAAGAAAGAAATAATTATTGCAAAGCGTAGTACTGAGCAGAAAATCGACACAAGTAAATAAGTAAACGGAAATCCTGATGTAAAAGGTGGCCATTCCGAATAAAGCATTTTGCAATAATATAGAATTTATAAAGAAGTTAATATATGATTATAAAAAAGTAGTATATCTTAAAATCAATTTCTAATATATATTATTATAAATACAGGCAATTGATTTGAGTGATAACTATGTTCGACATCTCACAAATAGTGATATACTATTATATATTACATAACGGGTTATGAATAATTAAATTCAAAGGACGATTTAGAGGTTGCCGTTCTATTTAATTATGCCCCCGATTGAGGAAGAATATACTTTTGCTTATATAATGTTATCATCGTCATTAAATTTCCTTGCTCAACAGTATCATTTCATATCTTATAATACTGCATGTGTTCCGTAATTGCTGAATAAAAGCGCATTACATTCCTGGAGAAAGAATCATTTGCTTCTAAATGTTACATTTGCAATTTTAATCGAATGCAAGATATTTACCATAACGTTAACAATTCCATATTAATTATCGTTAATCGACATCCGTGGGCATTGGAATTATATTATTTTAACTGAAGTTGTTATTAACAATTAACAGACAATATCTCAAGTGAAAATATTTAATATTGTTTCAACTAAAAGTTCAAATATTTTGGTAAATTGAGAAGATTGCATTGAGTATTTATTGCTGGCTCATGGCGAAGGATGTAAACATACCTGATGTATTTTCGAATGCAAAATATGTGTGTACCGTTAAAGGCGACACCTTAATATACGAACATATGCGAATCCATTAACAGAAGAAGTGTTAGCGGTTAGATGGATTTAATGTCTGGTGTTTTACAGATGTTGCGCAAAATGGTGCTTCAGCTTTTTACGTTTTAAATTAACGGTTTCCGATCTCTTCATTATATTTGAACTTTAATGATTTCCCATAAACGTTTCTCTCGCGTGAAAATTATTTTTATTTAAGAAATATCTATTTATCATCAATTCTCTTTGCTGTAGTTATTCATTTTTTTAGGGCATTTGAATTTACATTTTTTAACCTAATTACTGAATAACCAGTAGATCCTTTCTTACCGGATTAAACTTGCTATGTAACAAATATTTGGTATGAGATTATTAGTATAGTGCGGTTTTATATAATATTTATCAAGAAATTGGGTTTTGTAATTAATAATAATAATTAGAATAGTTTTGGTCACAATAAATAATTGAAAAAAAAAACACATATTTCACTGTCCAAACATTTTAGATATAGACAAATTTTAAAGAAAAACGTCGGTACAAGTATTGCATGTTTATAGAAGTATTTCAGTGATATAATGTATAGAACTAGAAATAGAAAAGTGGAAAATATACGTAGTTGATGGTGTTCTAGATTAAATCCGGTATCAGCGAAATAACAGTTAAGTCTAATTGAAGTGTGATTCAAGATTTATTTTTTTAAGATTATTAATTGCTATATGTGTATACTCGCTTTTAGAAATTTACTGGGTAACCCCGAAGGAAATGGTGGTGGTGATGATGAAAGATTTCTTGAGCATGTGTAATAATTGATTTGATGCAATTACTGATGCAAACGTTTAGAGTAAATTGATATGAGCAAGTGACTCTAAGAATATACATTAAGTGGCTCCAATACCTAAGCATGAATCGTGCATTTTCTGTACGATTGAATAATCGACCCTGCTCTATTCACACGTGTCGGTTGGCTTCTTTTTTTCACCATTTCTTGCGATGGAAATGTAATTTGTTGGAATCGAATTTGAGGTTGGCGCAATGTTCAACCATCCTCTTCCTTCTTCATCATCGATGTTGATGTGTTCTGGTTGACGGAATAAGATTCAGAAATGGTACGCAATAAAGTCGAAGAGAATGGATGTTCCATGGGCATATATGTGTGAGTGTTTATATATGTATGTATGTGTTGAGTGAATATCCCGGAACTGGGTATTGTCCGCTCCGGTGCGATGGAGGCCCCGGTCAATGGACGGAGTCCGGTCATTGAGCCTGCTGGCATGGTATATCTTGTCAAGTCGACTCTTCTGCTATATATATATACACTAGTTATGTAAACCTGCGCGCCTTTTCACAAAAAGAAAACGAAAACTTTGCTGTGTGCTCTCTCACAGAAGGAAGGAACGGTACCTTGCCCAGGACCGGTCAGTTTTATTAACAGGAACTCACCACTTTTAAACAACCTCTCTCCAACCATCCTCGCAGGAGCGCTTCTTTCGTTGCGTCTCCTTCCTTCCATCAGCCTAGCTCATTATCTACGTTCCATTATACATGAATTAAACATTAACGATGTCGAATGTGACTGGATCACCTTCTAAATCAACCATCATTAATTGTTCGTTATAGAAACAGAATGCACGATGGAACCACGATGATCACTTTTGTACGTGCCCAAAACACGCTTTGCAATTCCGATGATGCGTACTCTTAAAAATGTTTATAGCTTATACATGCAAATCAATACAAACGTAGGAATACGCAGTTATTTCATCCACTATATCTATCTCACAAATCAACAACAATTTCATTAATATTGAACTGACATACTCCTGAAAATTTGTATTCCTCTTCGTCTTAAAGAATTATTATATTTTTAAGTTTATGATTATAGTAAATACATTTATAGCTAATGGTATACCGGACTTATAGAAGTTCACTTAAAATTTAAAGTCAACTAAATCAATTGAACTTATACTAGACATTCAAAATCATACAAGTAAAATAAGATGGAAAACGAAAAAAACATAAATTTAGTATTTAAAGAATATGTGGTTGTTAACAAATGTAAAAGTTTATTTATACGTAACAATTAAACTGAAATGAATACAGATTATGCTTTAATTTGACAGAAGCAACAGGAATTAGTTAGTGAAGGCGTGTGTTCTCGAGTAGACAAAATATATGAGTTTGCATGCGTGAGGGCTGGACGAGCACCTGAAATTGAAGCATCAAATAAAATAATAATAATAATAATGAATGGTATATAATAAGGACGTTTCCGGTCTTTGCACAACTAACCAGTTTTAATTAATATAATTAGATTAATATGCGCTCTTAAAATCATCATCTGTAACAGTTTTTTTTTTTGGCATGTCTTCTATATCTCATAAACTTTATAAAATGATCAGAAACACCCCAATTATGGTGTCTTACTAACTAATTATTTCTATAGAAATGATAAAACTAGTTTTTTTTTCATAGTAAAATAATTACTTTGGGCGATGAGAACATGCATTTATTATATAATTATTTAAAAAAGTAACGTTTGGATAATAAATAAATAATGAACAAAAAGCTCATTAGAAATGTATGTATTTTGAAAATTGTTTTCGTTATCAAGAATTTATTTTAGCTTATTTATTTTAATATACAGTGGAACCTCGCTTAACGAAATTATCCAAATTTTCCGGATTTTTACTCATAAAGTGAAATACTCGTATAGTGAAACATATTCAAAAGTTTTAAAAATGATGTAGCAGACGGGACTTCTTATCTTCACTTGTTATGCGAAACGTCGCTCATTATGCGAGTCATTTTTCTTACAATTCATTCTGCTCATTAAGCGAAGTGCTTGTTAAGCGAGGTTTCACTGTACTTGTATTTTGGTAAAAGAAACTCACCAATTGAAAGTAAATTAGATTAATAGACGTATAGTTTTTTTGAAAATGGACTTCATTCCACGATTTCCAAATTAAATAAGAACAGCATTTTTTTATAAACTGGTTAATATGCGTTTACTAAGAAAAATTAAACCGGTTACAATAAAAACTCCTTGCATCGAAAAACTTCCGATTTCAATTACATCTATAGTAAAATTAAATATATTTTTGCTGTCTAGCTGGCAGAGAAAAGTAAGAAAAAAAATCAGGCGCCTAATCAATTTGCTGTACTCAGATACACGTGGCGTCTAGTGCAATTAGGGTAAATTGCAATTGTCATTAAACGGTCGGGGTTTAGATCGGCGTCGTATACGTTTCTAAAATCTAATTATCATTATCGATAATTGCTGCAACGAAATACCATTAACTTAATTATATAAAAAAAATAATAATTACCGTCATAGCATTAATTAGCACAACAATTATTATGAATAAATCACATTTTCATTTGATTTTTTTTAATTTTAAGAAAACACTATATAATTATAATTATATATAGAAGAAGTAACTGCGAATTGGAACTGGTTTTTAATTCAAGGTTAATTTTCGTAAAATTTTGTACCAAAACATCAAACGATTCGCTTCGATTTAACTTTAGATAATAATTACGTGATCATTGGTACCAAGGTGACATTAACTAAGATTCTGAAATCTACTTGTTATTCTGGTAATCGTTGATATTTAGTAACTAAAATCATTAGCCTAATGATGT